TGCTGATACGAAAGCTGTAATGCGTAACCTTTGTTCCACGTTGCAAAACTGGAACTGATGCAACCTGCCGCTGCGTCTGATGGTTTACTGCAGCAAAAGTTACTCTGTCAAGGTTTATTGTAAACGTGGATCCAAACACATGAATGCATTTCAAACCTTTACACTTATGCTTTTGAGGTTTAATTTCCAAAATGGGTGGCTCTTCACTGGGAATCATTGACTACAAAAGTGTACATTTAAATGTCCAACCCCCCCCCCCTTTACCCCACAGCTTTCATTCACGCTCATCATAACTCTGCTGTTCGGTCCCAACATCGTAACTGTTGAAGTGTCCCTAGATTCAAACCCGAAGAGGCACTTTTGCTCAGACACAAAGCTGCTTCAGCCTGCAACGGTCTCGCAGACAATCACTAACATTGCCTTCGTAGAAAACAATATATATATAATTGGCAACGTTTTGTTCAATGGTCCTTCATAGCACATGCTTTGAAGATGGGCCATGTCCCATGTGCTACGAAGATGGGCCATTGCGCAGAATGTCACCTGTTATATGGCTTTAAGGTTGCAGTGTTATTCACAAATGCGTTGAGCTTTTTCAGATGAAAATAAATCTGCTGGCATTCCCAGCTAATTGAAATCTCCATCACCTGAAGCTCTCACAGAGCTTGCTATATATGTGTAGTGACTAACTCGGAGACGATAAGACTTGGAGGCACTTCTTTATTAACAAGCACCATCGGGGTTAACACTCTTAATCATTAGGCCGTCTATTATCGGCGACGCTACTCAGCCAGGACAGTTGGTAGGCTGCCTGACGAGCGGGGTTCCCACATCAACAAAAGCCCCGAGGTCCCCTACAGGGGCCCCTCTTATACTGTCACGTGGTCTCGCTCCGCCTTGGCCACGCCCCCTTTATGGAACCTACTAGCGGGTTCCTGGTGTGCCTCTTCTGTGACCTTTCCCGTGCATCCCCCTCTCGTGTATATCACGTGGCCTGCTGACGTCAGGACTGCCGTACGCCGCAGATCCCCTTTCCTGCCAGCAGCCAGTGCTATGCCACTGTTGCACATTCGAAATGAAGGACGTGGGCAGGTGCTCCAAATCGAGGGCAAACACATTTATTGTGTTCTTGGTTCTTTCGGTAAAGTCACGTAGAAGGGAAATAATAAAATAATAAAAATAAAACATAATAAAATAATTCTCACGACGTTTCGGCCACAACGCAAGGAGTCGTCCTCAGGTGAAGAACAGGTCTGTCGGGAAGACAGCGTCTGTCGGGAAGACAGCGTCATTCAGACGCTGTCTTCCCGACAGACCTGTTCTTCACCTGAAGACGGCTGCTTGCGTTGTGGCCGAAACGTCGTGAGAATTATTTTATTATGTTTTATTTTTATTATTTTATTATTTCCCTTCTACATGACTTTACCAAAAGAACCAAGAAGATGAATCCCTGCAGTCACGAAAGCTTTAAATCGAAACATTTATTGTGGTTAATCTGTAAAATGCAAAAGCACGTGTGTCACACACAGCAATCTTCAACTGAGTCGACATTAACCATGTGACTGGTGTACAAGTGTGGTTAATCAATCATAGTTAATCTAAAACCCAATTCTACTGCTGATAAACCATCTTTGTCTTTGACAGTAACCTTTGCACTTCACTATTCGCACATTACTTTAATCCTAAGCTGTATTCTATCTATACAATCGACTTATATCGGTATCTTACACCCATTACCTATACTGTATGTGTACATTATACGTACTGTACTTTTCACCATTGTACCACTTACGACTGTACATGTGTTATATTTTCAATAGCATTGCAAGTAGTCATACTCTGGGTGCATGGGCATGCTTATAAAATAAACAGTATTAGGGTTAGAGAATTACAATTACAGTACGTAATTACAGTATGTCATCCTTAACAGTGCACAGTGCTAAAACCCCTCCTATTGGATATATCACAAACTAACATTTCAAAGCCAAGCTTGAAGTCTAGAACAAGTCTAGAACATTTCTCTAACGATCAAAAACAACCTTTGGGTCCTTTACCTGTAAGATGCAACAGCACGTGTCACACACAACAATCTTCAACCGAGTCGCCATTAACCACGTGACTGGCACACAATTGCGGTTAATCAATAACCCTGCCAGCCCCCTACAGGCCCAACTCCGTTATCGCATGCTGCTGTACACACGTGCATCGATGTACTGCATAGCACATCAGGACTTTCACAAAACCACACTTTATTCCCCCCTTGCTGCACAAGGAAATAATTAAAAGAGTGCTCCATTCCTAATGTGCCACACCACTACACATGCGCCGGTGGTGTGCACCACTTATAATTATTTATCGATATGTGCGGCTGTGCTCTGATGGTCACGTGCACTACCTTGTCTGTCTTGTTACTCTTCTTTGCACTATACATCTATTTACGTATACACTGCGGACTTGCCAACCGCGGAATTCATGTACACGCGGTTTATCATCCTATACAAATTTACCAAAAGCACGGGTCCGCAACACCCATTCACCGATTTAGGGTGGCCGCGGTTCTCCTCCGCACCTCTGCGCACCTCTTGAGGCTGCTTCGTAGCTTACCAAGCTGTCCGTCTGCTTGGTTGCGATTCTCGCAGGCCATAGACCGTGCCACATCGCAACCATAGAGGGAGGTGTACCGGGACCTGCACACAAAAACGCAGCAGAAATGCATCCTAACAAAATTTTGTTAAGGAAAATAACCAGCACCACCTATCCAGCCAGCGGTACCACTGGGCCTGCCCCCTCGCCTCTGGTGATTTCGAAAAGTGTATTGGTTTGGCCATGTTTGTTTGTTGTAGTACAGAGTAAGACTGATGGCTTTAATCTATAAATTGTCTTGTGGTTGTTGTTGTTTTGACTTGCATCCCACTGGGATTTTTTCACACAGCGTTGGTGTACGGTGTTTTTTCCTGCAATATTTTGCTGTCTTTTCTTGGATTTTCTGTTTGCACTCAGTCACATATTCACTTTACGATGTTTTTTGTTCATGTTTTTGTTTTTTGTTTGTTGCAGTTGCACCTGATTCAAGAGCTGAATGGCTGACAGGGCTCTACCTAATACATGAACTTGAACTTGAACTTCTCGCCTGCCCCCTCGCCTGCCCAACTCATCTGTCATTGATGACCCGGAGAAAGAGGGGGGAGGGTGGGCTGAGCGCCTCCGTCTTATAGCACCCGTTCCCCCATCATCTCATTGTCATCGTTATTGTCATTGTCATCGTCATCATAATCGACTTCTATCCTCAATATTGAAGGTATGTAAAGTTAACGTAATATTTATGGTTCAGGATGTTATTGTGTAATGTACTTATTTTATTCAGTGTTTAGTTAATAAACAGGCAAGTTAGTTAAGCTATGACGAGTCTGACCATGACTTTGGTTCCCCTAACCCCGATTTCCCATAGAACCCTTTTCCAGGAACCTAACCCCCCCGGTTTGCGATGGAGCATTGACGATGGGTCAGTCTGATGAGCAAGACTGCCAGTAGTCTCCTCCATGTAGCCGAACTCTCACACATACTCACACATACATATGCACACATGCGCACACAAAAACAAACATGGTTTTTAAACACTGATTTTAATTGTAGTTAGTATGCTTTGTTTCATTAAATAAACAATCTGTTTTGTATCCACATTGTTCTTTTTTTTGGTGTGGTTTTAATAGAATCCGTCTTGGGTTTCCAACCTCACCTGCACACCTTTTTACTTTGTGTTTTTATTTGCACTGTTTGTTTCAACAAACACGACATTTAGGGCCATCCATAAATGACGTCACGCACCTAGGGGGGGGGGGGAGTCAGACATTTGTGACGATGTGTGACGAGGGGGGCGGGGGTTTGAGAAATGTGACGTCACATCAAAATGGGCAACTTTAAATAAATATAGACAACACGTTCTACTTAATTAAATGCTTTTTAATAAATGTTTTCTCATACAACATCAGGGTGCAGCGCCGTATTAAATACGCACTACAATGACGATAGGTTAAAGCGATTTGAAGCATGTTTTATTTTTGGGGGGTGGGTGGAGGCAGAGCTTTGTGACGTCATATTTGAGGGGGGGGGGTCTGACTTTTTGTGACGCCGTGTGACGAGGGGGGGGGGTCAAAAATCGTCTAAAATCGCGTGACGTCATTTATGGACGGCCCCCAAGGAGTGCCACGTCTGTCTGGCACCAGAGTATCCGTGCCGAATGTGCCAACTGATGCTAACGATGTAGCAATGCTGCCCTCTTGCGGTATCATCTAAATGGAACAAATTACAGACGCGCGATTGTGTCCATGCAACTCAAACTATGGACCAGATCGTTAACCATAAATGCCCATGAAGACACATAGGGGCCGTCCATAAATGACGTCACGCGATTTTGGACGATTTTTTACCCCCCCCCCCTCGTCACACGGCGTCATAAAAAGTCAGACCCCCCCTCAAATATGACGTCACAAAGCTCTGCCCCCCCCCAAAAAACCATATTTCCATTTTTAAAATAAAACATGCTTCAAATCGCTTAAAACTATTGTCATTATAGTGCGTATTTAATGTGGCGCTGCACTCTGATTTGACGTCACATTTCTCAACCCCCTCTGCCATTGCATACAATAAAACAAAAAAAGGTAAAAAAAGAAAAAACAGAGCAATGTAATACAATAAACTATTAGATATTATTGTAAAAAAAATATTAAAAGTCCATCCTATGTGTTAGTGAAATTTTTTTTATATTTTAGGCAGGAAATTAGTTTTCAAATGTAGATTTTTTTTTCTGGGGGGGAGACCTCCTGCAATATTTGGTCCCCCCCAATGTTGACCCCACGGCTACGGCCTTGCAGCAAATGTAACGACACGTGACCTCGGGGGGGGGGGGGCCCGTGCCATGCGGTTTGTCCGCTGGATCGCGCGAGGGAATCGACGCCGAACCTCGGATCGAAGATCACGAATCGATTCCGTGGTTTGTCACGGGAAGGAACGCCTCCCCATTGGCCGCCACGGCGACCACGTGGGCAGAGAAGACGCTGGGCTGTGTGGGGAGCAACGCGAAACGGCGACTCTGTGTGGGTCTCTGTGTGTGTGTGGGTCTCTCTGTGTGGGGGTCTCTCTGTGTGGGGGTCTCTCTGTGTGTGTGGGTCTCTCTCTGTGTGTGGGTCTCTGTGTGTGGGTCTGTGTGTGTGTGTGTGGGTCTCTGTGTGTGTGGGTCTCTCTCTGTGTGTGTGGGTGTCTCTGTGTGTGTGGGTCTCTGTGTGTGTGTCTCTGTGTGTCTCTGTGTGTGTGTGGGTCTCTGTGTGTGTGGGTCTCTGTGTGTGTGTGGGTCTCTGTGTGTGTGTGGGTCTCTCTCTGTGTGTGGGTCTCTGTGTGTGGGTCTCTGTGTGTGTGAGTGTCTCTGTGTGTGGGTCTCTGTGTGTGTGTGGGTCTCTGTGTGTGTGTGTGGGTCTCTCTCTGTGTGTGGGTCTCTGTGTGTGTGAGTGTCTCTGTGTGTGGGTCTCTGCGTGTGTGTGTGAGTCTCTGTGTGTGTGTGGGTCTCTGTGTGTGTGAGTCTCTGGCTGTGTGTGTGAGTCTCTGGCTGTGTGTGTGAGTCTCTGTGTGTGTGTGTCTCTGTGTGTCTCTGTGTGTGTGTGGGTCTCTGTGTGTGTGGGTCTCTGTGTGTGTGTGGGTCTCTGTGTGTGTGTGGGTCTCTGTCTGTGTGTGGGTCTCTGTGTGTGTGAGTGTCTCTGTGTGTGGGTCTCTGTGTGTGTGTGGGTCTCTGTGTGTGTGTGTGTGTGGGTCTCTGTGTGTGTGAGTCTCTGTCTGTGTGTGTGTGTGTCTCTGTGTGTGTGGGTCTCTGGCTGTGTGTGTGTCTCTGTGTGTCTCTGTGTGTGTGTGGGTCTCTGTGTGTGTGGGTCTCTGTGTGTGTGTGAGTCTCTGGCTGTGTGTGTGGGTCTCTCTCTGTGTGTGGGTCTCTGTGTGTGTGTGTGTCTCTGTGTGTGGGTCTCTGTGTGTGTGTGGGTCTCTGTGTGTGTGTGTGTGTGGGTCTCTGTGTGTGTGAGTCTCTGGCTGTGTGTGTGAGTCTCTGGCTGTGTGTGTGAGTCTCTGTGTGTGTGTGTCTCTGTGTGTCTCTGTGTGTGTGTGAGTCTCTGTGTGTGTGTGTGGGTCTCTGTGTGTGTGTGGGTCTCTGTGTGTGTGTGGGTCTCTGTGTGTGTGTGGGTCTCTGTGTGTGTGAGTGTCTCTGTGTGTGGGTCTCTGTGTGTGTGTGGGTCTCTCTCTGTGTGTGGGTCTCTGTGTGTGGGTCTCTCTGTGTGTGTGGGTCTCTGTGTGTGTGTGTCTCTGTGTGTCTGGCTGTGTGTGTGTGGGTCTCTGTGTGTGTGTGGGTCTCTGTGTGTGTGTGGGTCTCTGGCTGTGTGTGTGGGTCTCTGGCTGTGTGTGTGAGTCTCTCTCTGTGTGTGGGTCTCTCTCTGTGTGTGGGTCTCTGTGTGTGTGAGTGTCTCTGTGTGTGGGTCTCTGTGTGTGTGTGGGTCTCTGTGTGTGTGTGGGTCTCTCTCTCTGTGTGGGTCTCTGTGTGTGTGAGTGTCTCTGTGTGTGGGTCTCTGTGTGTGTGTGGGTCTCTCTGTGTGTGTGGGTCTCTGTGTGTGTGAGTGTCTCTGTGTGTGGGTCTCTGTGTGTGTGTGGGTCTCTCTGTGTGTGTGTGGGTCTCTGTGTGTGGGTCTCTTTGTGTGAGTGTCTCTGTGTGTGGGTCTCTCTGTGTGGGGGTCTCTGTGTGTGGGTCTTTCTGTGTGTGGGTCTTTCTGTGTGTGGGTCTCTCTGTGTGTGTGGGTCTCTCTGTGTGTGGGTCTCTGTGTGTGTGGGTCTCTGTGTGGGGGTCTCTGTGTGTGGGTCTCTGTGTGTGTGTGGGTCTCTGTGTGTGCGTGGGTCTCTGTGTGTCTCTGTGTGTGTGTGGGTCTCTGTGTGTGCGTGGGTCTCTGTGTGTGTGGGTCTCTGTGTGTGTGGGTCTCTGTGTGTGTGTGGGTCCTTGTGTGTGTGGGTCTCTCTCTGTGTGTGGAGGTCTCTGTGTGGGGGTCTCTGTGTGTGGGTCTCTGTGTGTGTGTGGGTCTCTCTGTGTGTGGGTCTCTGTGTGTGTGGGTCTCTGTCTGTGTGTGGGTCTCTGTGTGTGTGTGTGCGGGTCACTGTTGGGGTCTCATTGTAAACCCGGTCTCTCACTGTGTGGCGTCTCTCTCTCTCTGTGTTGGGGTCTCATTGTGAACGGGGTTCCCCCGTCGCAGGAGCGTGCGTGTGTGGTGTGTGTGTGGGTGGTGTGTGTGTGTGTGGTGTGTGTGTGTGGTGTGTGTGTGTGGTGTGTGTGGTGTGTGGGTGGTGCTGGTCTCTGAGCAGGTCTCCCCATGAGCGCCTCGCCCGCCGTCTCGGCCCTGGAGCGCCTCGCCCCGCGCTTCCAGGGCGCGCTGCTGGGCGCTCTGCTGGGGGACGTCGTGGGCTCTCGCTACGAGGGCCGCGGCTTCGTGAGCCCCGTGGCCCTCGCCAAAGACGCACGAAACTTCCACATGCGACGCAATGACGGTGCGCGGGACACGGACGCGTGCACGCACCACGATTCTCAGCCGTGTAGGAGGTAATGATTATAGTAAGGGGACCGTCCATAAATGACGTCACGCGATTTTGGACGAGTTTTGACCGCCCCCTCCACACTCGGCACGCGGCGTCACAAAAAGTCAGACCCCTCCCTCCCCATCAAATATGACGTCACAAAGCTCTGCACCCCCACCCCCCAAAACCATATTTCCATTTTGAAAATAAAGCGTGCTTCAAATCGCTTTAAACTATTGTCATTGTAGTGCGTATCTAATGTGGCGCTGCACTCTGATGTTGTAGGAGTGTTGTTGTAACAAATAGTGTTGTTATAACAATTCTATATTTATTTAAAGTTGTGCATTTTGATGTGACGTCACATTTCTCACCCCCCCCCCCCTCGTCACATCGTCACATGTCTGACACCCCCCCCCACCCCCCAGGTGCGTGACGTCATTTATGGACGGCCCCAAGACTGTTGCGGCAAGTGCTGTTTGCGAGTAGCAAGCACCGCATGAAGGCCGATAAGACACGTAGAGGGAAGTGGGGGTGGCCAGCAATCACGCCCGGCCGCCTTTGTCTTCCCAGTGGTGATGTGTAACTACACACCGCACCGGGGTAACTCATTTGAGGCCGAGTCGACCTAGGGGAGGCCCGGGACCGGTTGCCATAATCGTCGCCGGTGTTGGTGGCCGTGTGAGGGAATCGAACTCTGGTGGTCCGGCAAAGTTTGCAATGCAGCGCGCTAACCGCTGCACCACCGCTCCCTTAACGAAACACAGACAACGCACACAACACAAGAGGCGCACCACCCCACTGCACCCTAAACAACCGCCGTTTGCCAATATGTGGCGGCGGCGTCACCACCACGGCGGTTGTGCCAGGCTAGGTGGCAGTTTTTTTCTTAACGTCAGCACCACGGACAGCAACTGGCGGTACGGAGGAGGGGGGAGAGAAAGAGAATGGAATGCGGTCTGAAAGTCACCGTAAGCGTAAACACAATCAATTAAGACCCGAAATGGTTTATCAAATCCTTCCAATGATTGCTGAGCCAGAATCTATCTTCTCGGTTGAAATTGTCTCTGTGTTTGTATATGTGGATAGCCTCATGAACGAATCTCTCATGGTAGCCAGATAGCTTGCAGAGAACCTCTGTCTTGGAGAAGTCAATGTCATGTGAGCCCACTGAATTATAACAGTGGTCTGCCACGGCTGAGGTGTTGGTCCTACCGTGTTTTAGGTCTGCTTTGTGTTCACGGATGCGGTCCGAGACATGTCGTTTGGTTTCTCCAATGTAACTGCTACCGCAGAGGCAACTTAGTTTGCAGACGCCAGGGTACTGTATGTCTGGAATCACATCTTTTACAGAGTGGGAGCCACTTTTGCCGCGCTGGATTTACGTTGCAAAACAAATACAACTTTGTCTCGTGTTCTTTCGTTAACACCGAGATGTTTTTCCTTATCGTAGATTTTCAATACACGGATGACACTGCCATGCTGAGGTCCGTGGCACAGTCCCTCATCGACAATGGGCGGTTCGATGCTCAAGACATGTCTCAACGGTAATGGAGCCATCCAGACTGGTCACACTGTTTTTTTTTATAATTGCTCGAGCCAACTGGAAACGCCCATGAAATCCCACGGTTTAAGACTCCCAATAGATTTGATTTTCCCAGAGGCTTTAAGCACTGACCCTTGATCAAGTTTCAAGTTTCATTTATTAGGTATAGCCCAGTGAGCCATGCTGCTCTTGAGTCGGGTGCAACCGCAACAAACAAAATATGAACAGAGAACATCTTAAAGTGACGACGCACAACAGAAACATCCTGGATAAACCAGCAAATCTTCCAAAAACAACCACCGTATTACAACGCTGTGTGCAAAAATCCCAGTGTGATGCAAGTCGCATCCCATATCGAAAATATGGGATGCGATAGTACAGAACTGTCATATCCATGGCCCTATTTCCCCAAACTTCTATTATCCATGGCAGATGGAGAGTCTGTGAAAACTCTTATTCACGATTCTATTTCTTAATATTATATTTTACCTAGAATGCATAGCAAAGCGGCTTCCTCATGCAATTTTTACACGGATACGAGAAGTCGCTCGCCAAATTACTCCAAATCCGCTCCGCTATCTGTGAGTTTAAACGAAAAATACTCGTGATTAAAGCAAGTGCACGGGTGGAAACTTGCTATGATCACAAGACAACACACACTAATACCCTATTAGGGACACGGAGACAGAGACAAACATTTAAGACATAGACACGACCTAGTTTTTGAAAGTCGACCGAGTTTTTGGAGCGTTTGGTCAGGATTAAAGCAAAGGTCACCAAACTCTGTTGCAAAATAATTTGAATATTTGGTGTCCTTTACATAGTTGTAAAGTTCTGAAAGAGAGGTTTCCAATTAAGTATATGTATTCTTGGTAGCTCCTGTAGCTTGGGGAGTTGTGGCTTGTAATGTTGAATTTGACCTGATCAGCACCTTAAAAAGGTCAACGCTACAATGATCCACAACTTGGAAAAGCTATTTGAACCACTGACCTCCACTTTGGATTTCTATCACATCTCTGGTACCTACAACTGAAAAGTTTTCCTATGTTCTCCCTTTGGTGAAGAAGACTACATTTTCTGGTGGAAATGGATACATTTCTCTGTATCCCTATCTCCGCTCCAAGAATAAGCCAAATGAAAGCAAAGGCTGTCCTATTTAGAAGCCGACACCTGAACAGATGGGAGAGTGACTCCTAAATTGGGAATGTTCGAGTCTTCAGATGTAATCCAAGTGTTGTATATATCACTGCAGTCAAGCGACGAGGTTAATTCTGTCAATTTCTGTACTGCCATCTCCTAGCCACCCTGGCAGATAACTGATTACATCATGTTGATGCACTTTTATTTTCGTGCTGATGTTCTTTGCACGAGAAAACATTCTTTCATACTCTTAGGTTTTTTCTTTACCCTTTTAATTTTCATTCTGGCAAAGTAGTAACATTCCTGCCTCTCAGTAAAAAGCGCCTGCATTCTATTGCTGACTGGTTCCTTCTGTGTGAAGTTTGTGTGTGTTATCCCCCTGTTCTGCATGGATTCATTCCATAGCTTAACAAGAAGCATGCAGTGCAACTGGTATTGGCCAAACATCCCGAATGGTTAAAAAGTACCTGCAAATTACTCAATTGGGCTTACATGCGGCAACATCGCCCACCTACTGCAAAAACTTGGCAGGCCCCTCCTGAAAAGAGTCTTGCGACTCAGGTTATGCTTCCTAGGTAAGCAAACAGAATAAGTAATAATAATGATTAAGAATAACTCCCAGTGTAAATAAGTTGCAACATTGATAATTGGTTTTTAAATCCTTTATATTAAGTTCGCTTGCTTGCTTGCTTGCGTGCTTGCTTGCTTACGACCGTGCAAATATTTCGGTCGTTTTTTAACCCACTTCCCGTGATCCAATCGAGCTGACATTTTGCACACAGACTCGTTGTGCGTGACAATTAATTTTCGTGAATTTTTTTTTCCAAAATTTTACACTGTTTAGGGAAAACAAATTAAATATTTAATTACCAATTGCTTAATACTGGCAGACACTCATCTGACCCATAGGTGGCAGCCATCTCAAGCCAGAGGACGAGAGGACTCTAGCCGCCACGCATATAAAGGATTTATAGTGAAAAACTTTGTTTTTACGGGTTATACTTATTTTACCCTTCTATCTGGAAACAAAACTGACACCTTTTTTTGTTAACAAGGAGTCATGTTTGCATAGACCACAATACCTGCAGTCATAATGCAAACAAAAAACATAACTGATAATGTGCACTGTCCTTGAAGTTGATTGGTCCACACCCGAGACAGCTTCCCTTAGATCCTCGTCTCACATGAGAGTTATGTTTTTTGTTTGCATTATGACTGCAGGTATTGTGGTCTATGCAAACATGACTCCTTGTTAAAAAAAAGGTGTCAGTTTTGTTGCCAGATAGAAGGGTAAAAAACCAATTATCATATTTTTTACTGGCAAATGGGGTTCCAATGAAGTTGCAACATTATCTTAAGTCGTTTTTAACTAAATATTATTATGGACAAATGCATTGAGCGTATGTGCTTTAATTGAGACTGTTTCCTGTTTTTCAGATTTGCCAAAGAATACCAGAAGGAGCCACTGCGTGGCTACGGGGCGGGTGTGGTGACTGTGTTTGAGAAGTTTCAGCAGCGCGCGTACGCTGGCGACGATGTATTTACGCCGGCGGCTGAGCAGTTTGAGGGGCGCGGTTCCTTCGGCAATGGTGGCGCCATGAGGGTGGCACCGGTGGCTCTCGCTTACCCTGCGACTGCTGATGTTAAACACGTAGGTAAATGCAGTGGACATGTGTCGAACCCAATGATGCGTAATATTTCGATTTTAAGTTTTCGTGATTGCAGGTATTCATCTTCTTGGTTCTTTCGGTAAAGTCACGTAGAAAGGAAGTAATAAAATCATAAAAATAAAACATAATAAAATGATTCTCACGACGTTTGAGAAGTTTCAGGTCTGTCGGGGAGACAGCGTCTGACAGACCTGGTTTTCACCTGAGGACGGCTACTTGCGTTGTGGCCGAAACGTCGTGAGAATAATTTTATTATGTTTTATTTTTATTATTTTATTACTTCCCTTCTACGTGACTTTACCAAAAGAACCAAGAAGACCAATGATGCGTGTTTAAATAAAATCTATTCAAATCCAATCTACATGTCGAAATACGTTACGCGCGCTTACCCGGGTATGGCCTCGCCAAGTCTCAAGCCTCTTAATGAGGATGGTACTGCGATGTTGTTTTGCAGTGGGGTGCAATGTTGTGTGTAATCGCAATTGAGTAACTTTCAGGTACACCATTGGAACCTCATTTGCCAGTAAAAAATATGATAATTGGTTTTAATGGTGTAAATGCTTACCCCGAGCTCTCATACTCTGATGGTGCATTGTCTTTGAGTTGTGCGCCTTTTGGCGTCATCTGGTCCAACCCATGTGAGACTAGGCTCTAAGGAAAGCTGTCTCGGGTGTGGACCAATCAACTTCAAGGACAGTGCATATATTATCAGAGTTATGTTTTTTGTTTGCATTATGGCTGCAGGTATTGTGGTCTATGCAAACATGACTCCTTGTAAAAAATGTGTCAGTTTCGTTGCCAGATAGAAGTGTAATAAAACAATTATCAACTTTCATGTAGTTTTTCAGCATTGGGATGCTCAGCCTTTTAACAGTTACATTGTACGGCTTTTTTTTTAGTATGGGAGAATACTGTAGAACCCAGAGGAAACCCATGTAGAATGGGGGGAGAACATACACACTCCACACAGAGAGGTGTTTGAGTCAGGAACTTAAAGGATATTCTTGGTTCTTTCGGTAAAGTCACGTAGAAGGGAAATAATAAAATAATAAAAATTAAACAATACAATAATTATCACTTTTTCTCTCTTTGTGAGAAATATTTAATAATGTTTTATATTTATTATTTAATTACTTCCCTTCTACGTGACTTTACCGAAAGAACCAAGAAGATGAATCCCTGCAGTCACGAAAGCTTTTAATCGAAAATTAAAGGATCTTGGCCAAACAACCGATTGCTGAAAAAAATCCCTGCAAATTATTTGATTGGGATTACACACAGTAGCTGCATCACCCCCTTCTGTGAAAGCTTCTGCAGGACCCTTCTGGAAAAAACAATCTTGAGACTTGGTGAGGCTTTGCTGGGTAAACAAGTGGAATGATAATAATACAGTGGACTATCAATTACCCACTTGCGGTTTATCCGATTTGCCGATTAACTGCGCACCTGAGATTTTGACATAAATTAGAAACTCATGGATTTTCCCCTCAAGCCCAAAATAATCATATAAAAACAATTATACAATTATATTATTAGAAATGTTTATTACAAGTCACGTGCTTAAGCCAAGCAAATATGTGCTCTGGTTAATCCGAAATCCATGTGATCGCCTCTACAGTACAGTAGTTGCATGTCTTTGCAACAATGGGCGGAGTTTGATTGATGTTGATTGGTGTGGCTCTGCTACCCACTTAGTGGGCGGATTCTTCTGTGCGGGAGCAGGAAAGTGTTATCACTGATCCGCGGAAAATTGAATTTTTTTTGGATAATGAAGAGTCTGCTGTAATATATCACGTGTTGTGTGTGATTCTCGCCATAACAGTGCCTTCCGTTTTGCTGCAGATCGCCAGATTGAGTGCACGCATCACCCACGCCAACTCCCTGGGCTACAACGGCACCATCTTGCAGGCCTTAGCTGTGCATTTTGCGATTGCGGAGGATAACATTTGTGCTTTGACGTTTGTTGACAAACTGATACAAGAGATGCTCGAGGTCGAGGAATCCTCAAATGACAAGGCAAGGTTGGTTATTCACGAACTTTTTTTTTACATTTCCTGAACCAACATTCAGAGGCTTCTTTTTGTTTGCTTTTTTGACTACTTGTGTTGTGGTCATTGCAAACATGATGCCTTGAATAAAGGTGTCAGTTTTGTACCAGTTGAAAGGGTATAAACCTACTATTATATTTTGCCACTGGTAAAAGAGATCTCATAGTGTTAATGCTTACCCCGAGCTCTCAATACTCTGATATTGCACTGTGTTTGAGTTGTACGCCTTCTGGTGTCATCTGGTCCAACACCAATGGGGACTAGGCTCTAAAGAAAGCCGTCTCGGGTGTGGACCAATTAACTTCCAAGGACAGTGCATATTATTATCATGATCAGAGTTGCTTCTTTTTGTTTGCTTTTTTGACTACTTGTGTCGTGGTCATTGCAAAAATGATGCCTTGAATAAAGGTGTCAGTTTTGTACCAGTTAAAAGGGTAAAAACCTACTTTTATATTTTGCCACTGGTAAAAGAGATCTCATAGTGCAACATTCAGACGTAAAAAAATATTTAAGGTTCAAGATTTTCTGACTTTCCTCCAGCAGCAATCTACTGCATTGTCATTGGCTATGTTGTGGACCATGCCATCAGAAAATGTCCATGTTTATTTCTCCGATATAATGTTTGCAATTTATTGTGGCTGTGTCTTTAAGAGTGGCCCTCCTTGCCTGGGTCCTCTTCTGAGATTTGTGTTCTTGTTGTAATCTCAGTGGAGCTATTTCAGATTTTTTCATTATTTGATCACTTATATATTTTTTATTAAGCCTGTGGACTTTGAGAGCCTGGTTGACTGCATTAGTTCCACCGAATTAAATGCTTTTTCATAGGACTTCTACGAAAGCTAAGCGTAATGGTCCATAATAGAGGTTTTTGGGTGAGATCGCGTAAATTTATAAATGTGTCGTTAAAACCCGCCACCACCCGACACAGCCAACGAGTAAGGGTTGTCACGAAACCAGAACAACCCTTACTAGTTGGCTGTGTCGGGTGTTGGCGGGTTTCAACGACAAATTTATATATTTACACGATCTAACCCAAAAACCTCTATGGATGATATTGGTCTCGAAAGCCTACGTGTTAAGCGTATTTTGATATTAATTTGTCATTGAAATCTGATGAGTAAGCAACAAATGATAGAAATATTTGTAACTCCAGCTTGTTTATGTATGGGTTGGCCTCTAAAATATCCATTATTCGGTTGTATGTTGAACTTCTTTCGCACCATACGTAGCCAACCGTGCTAATCGGAGGTGCGGGGGGAAGGATAAAAAACGAAACGCATCAGTGACGTGTAATAATTTAGGCATATTTCCATGATGGAGGCATTGCATAGCTTGTAAGCATTAGAAAACAGTAGTGCTGCTTTTATGAAGAGGTCACAGTTTTTCCATCTGGTTTGGGAGCTTTCAAATTTTTCTTCCTGCCAAGAGAAGTGGTCACTATTTCACGTGTGATATCTGAAACATCCTCACATCGCTAAGTGTTTCATAGAGTCTCATTGATAGCTGGGAAACTCTATCCCATATATCCAAAAACTTCAGTTTTGATTCCTGGAGGGACTAAAATTCCCACTTCATAATAACCATCATATTTCCCTCTATGATGGACAATGTTCCCCACTAAGTACAAGTGCGGAATTCATTTATCCTGACCTTACCAAGGCCATGTCTCACATTTCTGCCACGTGTGTGTGTGTCCTGCCTGTAGGTTGACTTGATTTTTTTCCGCTGTGTAAATGTGGGTCATCTGCCACAGATCAGTTCTCGTCTTTATCATGATGCTTGTTTACCCAGCCAAGCCTCACTCAGTCTCCGGACTTTTTCAGGAGGGTCTTGCCAAGTTTGTTGTAGTTGGGGGTGACGTTGCTGCTCTGTGTAATCTCCATTGGTTAATTTTCAGGTATTTTTCAGCATTGGGATGGCTGATAATTCACTGTGTAACAAACATCTTTTTGTTCCTGGGTAGGAAGTGTTATTTTCCAATTGCTTATGCCTGCTTTAACAACTTAACACCTGTTTTGTTGCCAGATAAAAGGGGAAAAACCTAGTCTCATATGCCTCAAAATTACAGAACATGGCTATTATTCCCCACAAACTTTGCTTTTGTGACCAGGATACAAAAGCAAAGTTAATAATCCACTCCATTAATAACACTGTGTAACAAATTTATATTTTTTTGTTCCTGGGTAGTAAGTGTTATTTCCTAATTGCTTCTGCCTCAAAAGTACAGAAAATGGCTATTATTCCCCACAAACTTTGCTTTGTGACCAGGACAGTGATATTTTGAAATGTACCTATTTTCAAAGAGAAAACGTGGTGTGCATTTGCGACATTCCTTCACGTAAAGTCCTGGTCACAAAAGCAAAGTTTGTGGGGAATAATAATAGACATTTTACATACTTTTGAAGAATAAGCAATTAGAAAATAACACTTACTACTCAGGAACAAAAATCGCGTTACATCGTGATATAATAAATATGATGATGACTAATTTACGCAAGGTTATTTCACTTTGTGAGGATTCAATGAGTGGATGTTGTATAAATGTACATTGTAAGCATGTCAAATGATTACAATTAAAGGTTATCATATCCTGTAACTTTATATAATAATTTTTTTTTCTACAGTGCAAAAAGTGCAACACCCTATTGTAATAGGTTGGAGAAGATCAAGGAGTTCTTGAACCTGAAAGACGTGCCGAGAGAAGATGTTGTGCAGCACCTCGGTGAGACTGGGGGGGGGGGAGTTTCCTTGTGAGAAGAGTACATTGTGTTGTTGCTCTGAAGACTGCGAGACAGAGGTCGCAACCGGGTACCCGATACCCGTACCCTACTCGATACCCGGCTACCCGTACCCGGCCGGGTACGGGTAACCGTTTGCGACCCTGGTGCGGCCGGGTACGGGTACGGGTAGGCCGTGAGTCACTGGTGAGTAACTGTTTGTCACTCATTTCCCAACGTCTTGTCTCTTCTCACAATTCAAGTTCCTAGAATCAACCCACCCGCGCCTGCAACATGGCTTCATCCCAGAGGTCGCAATCAGGTACCCGATACCCGTACCCTACCCATACCCGGCCGGGTATGGGTAGGATACGGGTACGGCCGGGTACGGGTACGAGTACCCGTTTGCGACCCCGGTGCGGCCGAGTACGGGTACGGGTAAGGAATCAAAACCCGTTTGCGACCTCAGCTGGGAGATCGATGTTCGGTCGCCGCGTCGACGGCTTTCGTCGCGATTTCAAACTGAACAGAGTGGGCTGCGTGAACGCTGCCATCTTACACTCCCAAAGCTTTGGCGGCATCACCTACGATGATTCCACTTACATTTCCGAGTGACAATATCTTTAATACTGCACATATGAAACTGGTGATTTAGGAATTGCTTATGGAACATTCTTTCACCCATCTCTGCATTTCATTTAAAAGTTCTGCTTAGTCCTGAAAGATTTTAGTTTTTATGTTATATTTGAGTGTGTGCTTGTGAACGGTATTCAATTGGACATGCAGCAATAACTAATAGCGAGTGCCATCAATAATAAAATAATAAAAATAAAACATAATAAAATAATTCTCACGACGCTTCGGCCACAACGCAAGCAGCCGTCCTCAGGTGAAGAACAGACCTGTTCTTATTTCCCTTCTACAACGCAAGCAGCCATCCTCAGGTGAAGAACAGACCTGTTCTTATTTCCCTTCTACGTGACTTTACCGAAAGAACCAAGAAGACGAATCCCTGCAGTCACGAAAGCTTTAAATCGAAATGCCATCAACATTGTTGTTGATCTTGTTTGGATGTTTGCGTGACTCACGCAGGCAACGGCGTGCAAGCCTTGGAGTCGGTGCCCACTGCCGTGTACGCCTTCCTGCGCTGCCTGCAACCCGAGCCCGACATTCCCGACGAGCTGGGTGGCGTGGCGCGCACGCTGCTCTACGCCATCTCCCTGGGCGGCGATACGGACACGGTGGCCAGCATGGCTGGAGCCATCGCATGGGGCCTATCACGGTGATGGTGGCTTGCCGGCCTCATGGCTCCAGCTCAGTGAAGGTGTGCAGGAGGCCCGCACGCAGGCGCGGCAGCTGCTGGGGCAGTACCAGCGGAATCTCCGCAGCAGTAGCTCGAGTGTGGATCACAAGCCCTCTCAAGACTGCAACGCTGAGCAAAAGTGAAGAGAACCTACGACCACTTTGCTAGACGTGGAGTTGGATGTTGAGATTGTATATTGGGCGGCAGGGCGGTGCAGTGGTGACACCCGTGCCTCATTAGCTAGAAGCTCCTGGGTTCAATAACGTTTTTCTGTGTTGCGTATGTATTCATAATAGAGGTTTTTTGAGTATGTATGTTCTCCCCCTGTTCTACGTGGGTTTCCTCTGTTTTTTCCCATAGCATAAAAACACATACTTTGTAACTGGTATTGGCCAAAGATCCCAGTTGTTGAAAAATTATTTGCAAATTACTCGATGGTGATTACTCACGATTGGCGACGTAAGGTTAGTAAGCAGTTCAGCGTACATACTCACAAGAACGCATTGCCACTACTGCGAACGCTTGGGAAGACCCTCCTGCCTTAGGAGTCTTGAGGCTCTACTGGGTGAACAAGCGTAATAATATAATTAATCTTCTTGGTTCTTTCGGTAAAGTCACGTAGAAGGGAAATAATAAAATAATAAAAATAAAACATAATAAAATAATTCTCACGACGTTTCGCCAGGACGGCTGCTTGCGTTGTGGCCGAAACGTCGTGAGAATTGTATTTTATTATGTTTTATATTTTTCATGTTATTATTTCCCTTCTACGTGACTTTACCAAAAGAACCAAGAAGATGAATCCCTGCAGTCACGAAAGCTTTAAATCGAAATTTAATATAATGAATGGTTTCGGAATTCGTGAAATGCACGTTTTATTGAAACGAGAACCAAATTCTCAAATAATAGCTATCACAAACATGCATGAAGACCTTACGTGATATTGTTCATATTGATAACTGCTAATTTAAGTTTAGTCATTGCGTTTGAAGTGCTATGCATTTGACAGTATTTGCGTCCAGGCAGTCCCCAACATACAAATGTCCGCACTTACGAACGAGTTTCCGTAAGATATTTTTTGTTCACCATCCGAATTTGTGAACTCGCAAATGCGAACCGAACTGTGGAACTATTTTGTTCAGTGGAGCAATCTTCTGTTAGATGTAACGAGTCACAGCATCCCTCTGGGAGTGTGTACGCATGGCAGAGGTCGCAACCGGGTACCCGATATCCGTACCCTACCCGATACCCAGCCGGGTACGGGTACGGGTAGGCCGTGAGTCACTGGTGAGTAACAGTTTGTCACTAATTTCCCAACGTCTTGTCTCTTCTCACAATTCAAGTTCCTAGAATCAACCCACCCGCGCCTGCAACATGGCTTCATCCCAGAGGTCGCAATCAGGTACCCGATACCCGTACCCTACCCGTACCCTGCCGGGTACGGGTACCCGTTTGCGACCCTGGTGCGGCCGGGTACGGGTACGGTTAAGGAATCAAAACCCGTTTGCGACCTCTGACGCACGGACAAGTGTGTGAACGTGGGGAGCTGTAGTGTCGTGGTTGGCGTGCTCTGCTACGAACACAGCGAGCCGAGTTCTATTCCCGCTCACGGCCAACATCAGTGACAATTATCTGAACTGGTCCGGGGCCTTCTCTGGTCGACTCAGCCTCAAATGAGTACCTGGTTCGGTGTGTAAACATCGCTCCTGGGAAGACAAAGATGGCCGGGCATGATGTTGGCCACCCACCCCCTTGTGTGCCTTTGCGGCTTTTATAGATGCTGCTCAGTAACAGCACTTGCCCCAATAGCCTGTGAAGGCTATACGAGGGATTATTGGTGTGCGTGTGCGTCAAGTACGTGCACGCAAGCACCCGTGTGTGTGTGTGCAATTGTGAGGACTCATTATGCCCCTTCCAACAAGCAAGCCAGTATCAGGACTCGAGGTAATTGAAGATTAAACAGTTTTTTTTCTATTTACTTTATTTTATGTTTTATTTACTGGACAGTTTATTACAGTATTACATGCAAATTTATATTTCTTTCTACCAGTTGAACAATATTTTTTTTCTTGTTGAACCGTAACATTTTATCACACTCACCGTATGAAAACATTTTCTTATTTACAGTATTTTAGCAGGTAAAGCAAAAATATATATTTCTTTTACCGGATAAAGCCCACTGAACTATATAGCTCTTTTTGAGAAGTGACCTGGCCACAAATGATAGCTCAACGAAGTGGCTTATGCTGAAACTTATAGCAGCCAAATACTCTAAACGTATGTTGATTCTAAATGTTTAGGGAAAAACCGGAGGACCTGGAGAAAAACCCACGTGACCACGGGGAGAACATGCAAACTCAAAATATACAGGCTGTCGAGGGTTTGCATCGAACCTATTTGCATTTGAATAGGAAATTATTTTGTTTCGACTTATGAACGGGTCTCAGGAATGGAACCCATTCGTAAGTCGGGGACTGCCCGTATGCATATTTCTATGAGTGTATCTTGAACTTCTTTCACACCGTACACAGCCAACCATGATAATTGGAGGTTGCTGGGAAAGGACAATAAAATAAATACAATATTTATACTGAGCCAACTTGTGGATTATATGAGCGTCCCCATCAATTTACAGGAAATCTGCAGGTTGAGTGAGCCTACGCATGGCAATGTTCAGCAATGCAAACATAATGTGTTGGTCTTCTTGGTTCTTTTGGTTAAAGTCACTTTACCGAAAGAACCAAGAAGATAAATCCCTGCAGTCACGAAAGCTTTAAATCGAAATCATGTGTTGGGTTTCTGCATCATACCCTATTTTACTCTCCAGCATTAAAACCGCTGAAACTGTTTGAAATTGTGTTGTCTTTGTCCATACTATAGTGTGTTGAGTCCAGATGAAGTTCAAGTTCATTTATTAGGTATAGCCCTGTGAGCCATTCGGCTCTTGAATCGGGTGCAACCGCAACAAACAAAAACATCTTAAAGTGAATATGTGACTAAGTGCAAACAGAAAATCCAAGAAAAGACAGCAAAATATTGCAGAAAAAACACCGTACACCAACGCTGGCAGGAGACAGATCATGAACATCATCATCAGCAGCAGCAGCCTTGATCTATATGCACTGCTGACTAAAAGTTTCCCCAAGCCATCACCATCTCTCACGGGGTCATGGTGCAACACTCCATGCAGGATCTGCGCACGAACCGATTGGATGTCCTGTCCAGCATGTTCCCTCATTTGGCTCCCATTCTGTTTGTCAGTTTTGACCTCGGCCGTCATCCCGTTCCCTGCCCAAGCCCACTTAAGAGCGATAAATGTCTCCAGCGGGTGTTCTCCGAGCCACCATGTATTCCTCTTTCTCAGTGTCCCATGTTACCACTTCATGCCCAAGCAACAGTAATATCCACATGCCCTTTGTTTTGTCATTCGTCACTTCATTACGTTCTTGTAACGTATCTAGTAGTTCATCCCCATGAGACATTAAATTAGCTGTTGGCAAATCATAGATGGTTAATTTGTTCTATATTTATTAGTTTGTGTGCTTATGCACCACTGCCAATGCAGTATCAGACAATTTTATATCAGACAAGAGTCTCTTCAATAACATCACAATACAACATGGTTACCCGGGGTGTAATATGTCGGCAACTTTTAAAATGGGTTTCTAAATACAAATCAACGTATACATGTTTGACTTATGAAGAGTTTGTGACCAAATGTCTATGAACGGGTAACTGTTCATATTCCAATTTGAGACTTCGTCTCAAAACATTTTTAAATGAAATGTATATCAAGGCCACATGGTGTATCGTGTAATCTCATGCCATCGTTAGCTCGGCCTATGCCTGTGAAGAGCGGTCATAGAAACGCTGCTGATGATTTATTCGAGAGGCAATGGCACTGACGTGTGTGCTACCTACTCATGTGCACCGCTGCTAGCGTCGCAAGCTTTCTCGAAGTGGTCACAGGCGTGTGTAGACGTGCCCCTGAGCAGGCAAGTGTGTGGCAGGCGAAGATGTCACGAGGTTGATGATCTGCGTGTTCGTGAAGTTGAATATCGAGCAGCATGTTTTTTGTCGGTTAGCTTTTTGTTTCTGTTTGGGTTCATAATGTGGCGCTGTTTGATCATGTTGTACATACACTAGCTGTATATATTAAACTGTCGTTTCGTCAAGTGGTGAAAGCTAAATTTTTATTTAAAGCTTTCGTGACTGCAGGGATTCATATTCTTGGTTCTTTCGGTAAAGTCACGTAGAAGGGAAATAATAAAATAATATAAACATTAAACAATAAAAAGTCTCACGACGTTTCGATTGCAACACAAGCAATCATCATCAGGTGTGAAATCCACAGCAAGAAATTTTGAAAAAAGTGGCGTTTTTTAATTGTTTAATATATATATTATTTTATTATTTCCCTTCTACGTGACTTTACCGAAAGAACCAAGAATATGGTGAAAGCTACTTAAAGCTGTTATGTGCTTATGATAATGACGCTAACAATAAAACATTACCGTACAATGTGGATTCATATAGTGTCTAAATGTGAGCGCATCTTAGGAGGCTGTACAGAATCGGTGGGAATCTTTAGAAGTGGCACTCGGTCAAAGGCAGAGGAAAAAGATTAAGCTCGTGAGCATGGGAGAGACTTGGGGCCGGGGGTCGACAGCAGTGCCGGATTATCCTCGTAGCAAAAGTAGCTACATATGTAGTAGCTACTACTACACGTGTAGTAGCTAGTAGTAGTAGTAGCTACTACATATGTAGTAGTAGTAGCTACTACATATGTAGTAGTAGTTACTACTACTACACGTGTAGTAGCTACGGGCCCCGCACTTTCAAGGGCCCCGCGCTTAATGCTTTCAAGCTATCAATTCCGGTTCAGTGATTCTGCACTTGCTCTATTACTATAGTACTATACCGCCTTCAACGTTTATGAACGACTGGGTGTTTATGGTTAGCGATTCGTCGTATTATCTGGCTGTGTAGCAAATGAAAAATGTAATGACTTTACTATGCAAGTAAAACATTTGTGTTTCAATATGAATGTTGAAATATTTTTTTAGGGCCCCTTTATAACAATTGATACAGGCCCCGCACTTGCTTAATTCGGCACTGTCACCACGGCCGACATTGAACCTGGGTCCAGGATGGGTCTCGCACCGAGCAGACGGCCTGGGGGCAGGGAGCAGCCCGTCCGTACAGGCGAACTCGGGCGGTCGCCTCGGGCGCCAAGTTAAGTGGGGCACCAAATGCGATGAAAACAATAACGAGGATGTCACATCAATTCCCTGCGAGCGTATAGATGGAATATGAATTATAATTAATTTTCTTGGTTCTTTCGGTAAAGTCACGTAGAATGGAAATAATAAAAATAAACCAATAAAATAATTCTCACGACGTTTCGGCCACAACGCAAGCAGCCGTCCTCAGGTGGAGAACAGGTCTGTCGAGAAGACAGAGTCTGAAATGACAGACCTGTTCTCCACCTGAGGACGGCTGCTTGCGTTGTGGCCGAAACGTCGTGAGAATTATTTTATAATGTTTTATTTTTATTATTTTATTATTTCCATTATACGTGACTTTACCGAAAGAACCAAGAAGATGAATCCCTGGAGTCACGAAAGCTTTAAATCGAAATTTAGAATTAAATTCTCAACATTTTTGAGAATGTATTGGTTGGAAAGACGGGCCGACGTAAAAACCGAATTTTTTTTGGGTTATATCGCGTAAATATGTGTCGTTAAATCCGCCACCACCCGACACAGCCAATTCGTAAGGTTTGTCACGTTAACAGAACATGCCAATACGTTGCCTGTACAGCAACACCCGTGTGTTGCATTAGGGGCCGTCCATAAATGACGTCACGCGATTTTGGACGATTTTTGACCCCCCCTCCCTCGTCACAAAAAGTCAGTCAAATATGACGTCACAAAGCTCTGCCCCCCCACCTAAAAAAAAACATGCTTCAAATCGCTTTAAACTATTGTCATTGTAGTGCGTATTTAATGTGGCGCTGCACTCTGATGTTGTAGGAGAAAACATTTATTAAAAAGTCGATTTAATTAAGTAGAACGTGTTTATATTTATTTAAAGTTGCGCATTTTGATGTAACGTCACATTTCTCACCCCCCCCTCACCTCGTCACACATCGTCACAAATGTCTAACCCCCCTCCGACCTAGGTGCGTGACGTCATTTATGGACGGCCCCTTATGGATGTTATTGGTCGCGAAAGGCTACGCGTTAAACAAAAACAAATTATCTTGTAATAGTATCTTGTTCTTCTTCGAAAAGTTTCCGGAGGAGGCCCTGGGCGACATCGTGAAGGCACGTCCAGGAGTTGAACTCTCTCAGTAAGCCACGTGGCGATTTCCCCCCTCCGCGTTTAGAATTCAACGCCACGTGTTTTGGAGGACGTGGTCGCTAATAAAAGTGCCACTTCTGTATAACTCTTTGGTTCTTTCGGTAAAGTCACGTCGATAGCAAATTAATCTACGTGATTTGAAGCTTTCGTGACTGCAAGGATTCATACTCTTGGGGTTTTTTCGGTAAACTCACGTAGGTAAAAAAATAAAAATAATAGAAATAAAATTATAAATCACGACGTTTCGGGCGCAACCGTTTGTCGGTTGCGCCCTTGAAATATTATATCGAGGTACTGTGGTTGTCCCACCTGATGACGGACGCTTGTGTTGCGCCCGAAACGTGATTTATTATTTTATTTCCATTATTATTTCTATTATTTATTTTTACCTACGTGACTTTATCGAAAAAAACACAAGAGTATAATCTACGTCACTTTACCGAAAAAAACAAAGAGTATGGATTCCTGCGGTCACGAAAACCTCAAATGAAGATTGCCCATCTGGAATATGCCACCCGGTATTGAAGCGATCGTCTGCGATGGCCAGGTCCCGCCTGATGAAACAAGAGCTAAACAGTGGCCCTTACAACCTCCTGGTAAGACAACAGCAGCAGCAACTGCAGCAGCAACAAACTGCAGCTCCCTTTGATGCTGTTAATCCTGCATAATGCACATGCATATGTAGTACTAATCACATTCCTGCATTTTCCATAAATATGCAAAATTCCTCTTGATATGCAAATTCCTTTGTCAAGGCGCCCAGCTTATATATATGCTCCAAGCTCGTGTGCTGTTTCATTCAGACTCTGTCGCCTCGACGGACCTGGTTTTCACCTGAGGACGACTGCTTGCGTTGTGGCCGAAACGTCGTGAGAATTATTTTATTATGTTTTATTTTTATTATTTTATTACTTCCCTTCTACGTGACTTTACCGAAAGAACCAAGAAGATGAATCCCTGCAGTCACGAAAGCTTTAAATCGAAATTTGAGTTTGATGGCTTTTGTGAGTACTCAGAATTTGGAGCTTGTTGTATTACATTACATTTCTAAGTATACTAGATTTGTGTTTCTATTTCATTTATACCTGATGATGATTGCTTGTGTTGCAATCGAAACGTCGTATGCTAGTATTTAATTGATTATTTTCTCTTTACACGTGACTTTACCGAAAGAACCAAAGAGTAACTCAGAATTTCGATTTAAAGCTTTCGTGACTGCAGGGATTCATCTTCTTAGTTCTTTCGGTATTATGTTTCATTTTTTATTATTTTATTACTTCCCTTCTACGTGACTTTACCGAAATAACCAAAAAAAAGTAACTCAGAAGTCGTAGTTTTTTAAAATCCTTTATGTTAAGTTCACTTGCTTGCGCGCTTACGACCGTGCAAATCTTTCGGTCGTTTTTTAACCCACTTCCCGTGATCCAATCGAGCTGATATTTTGCACACAGACTCGTTGTGCGTGACAATTTATTTTCGTGAAAATTTTTTTTCTAAAATTTTCCACTTTTTAGGAAAAAAAAAATTTCACTAACACAATCATATATTTTTCCTAAACACAGAAAATTATTCAAGAAAACAACAAAATGTACAATATAAACAATCATACAAAAACTGAAAACCTTATAATCCTTATATACGACTTTCATTATATTTAATTTAAAATACCAATGTGATAAAAATGAAACTCTTACTCAAGAAAAACTGAAATGAATAATAAAATAAAACCGATGCCACGCATATAAAGGATTTATATTGTTTTTACGGGTTAATTTTTAAAAAATTTTGAAAGTCCACGTTGTGAGTGGCAGCCGACGCCACGAATCGAACGCATCGATTCCTGCGCGCGATCCGTCAAAATCGACTCGGTGTCTTCAGTGACACAACGTGGGACGTGGAGGAGGTAGGTGGTGGAGGTGGAAGCTACTGGTGGTGATGGCGCTACTGGGTCTCCGCTCTTCCACCCTCTGCATCGCTCTCATCGCGCTCGCCACCGTCGCTCTCCTCTACCGCCTGCTCGCCGCCCTCGGCGCCACGGGTGCCGGCCCCGCGTTCGCCTCGCAGCCCGCGGGTCACCGCGAGTTGGACTTGCGCGCCGTGCTGAGGGTGGCGTTGCTGGCGGCCGAGCGCGGCGGGGAGCGAGTGGCGGCGGTGCGCGGGGCGAAGGCCGCGGGGCGCGTCCGCAGCAAGGGCAAGACGCGGGAGGGAGCCGAGGAGCTACTCACGCCCGCAGACATCGCCTCGCACCGCGCCATGGTCGCGGCCTTCCACCACGCGCTGCCCGGCGTCAAGGTGCGTGGAGCAGAGGTCACGCACGGGTTTGTAGCCGTAGTTGTACCCGGCCGTACCAGGTGTCGCAAATGGGTACCCGGGTACGGGTACTCGTTCCGTACCTGGGTACCCGTTCCCTACCCGTACCCTACCCGGGTACTCGTTCCCTACCGGTACCCTACCCGAAATGAGTGACAAACGGTGACTCACCAGTGACTCACGGCCTACCCGTACCCGGCCGCACCAGGGTCGCAAACGGGTACCCGTATCCGGGTACGGGTAGCCGGGTATCGGGTAGGGTGCGGGTATCGGGTACGCGGTTGTGATCTCTGTCGTGAAGGGTCGGCGCGGCCAACACCACCCCCACCACCACCCGAATGTCAGTTTTCAGTTTTATTTATTAGGTTGTAGCCCTGTGAGCCATTCGGCTCTTGAATCGGGTGCAACCGCAACAAACAAAAAAACATGAACAAGAAGACATCTTATAGTGACTACGCACAAACAGAAAAATCCAGGGAAAAAAACAGCAAAGTCTACCAGAAAAAGAACCGTATAGCAACGCTGTGTGCAAAAATCCCAGTGGGATGCAAGTCAAACAACAACAACAACCACGGGCCCCCCACCCCCGGGTCCCCCCCACCCACCCCCGGGTCGCCCCCCACCCCCGGGTCGCCCCCCCCCACCCCCGGGTCCCCCCCTCCCTACACCCGGGTCACCCCACCCCCGGGTCGCCCCCCCCCACCCCCGGGTCACCCCCCCCCCCACCCCCGGGTCACCCCACCCCCGGGTCGCCCCCCCCCCGGGTCACCCCACCCCCGGGTTGCCCCCCCCCCCCACCCCCAGGTCACCCACCCCCGGGTCACCCCACCCCCCACCCCCGGGTCGCCCCCCCCCCCCCGGGTCGCCTCCCCCCCACCCCCGGGTCGCCCCCCCCCCACCCCCGGGTCGCCCCCCCCCACCCCCGGGTCCCCCCCCCCCACTCCCGGGTCCCCCCCCCACCCACCCCCGGGTCGCCCCCCCCACCCACCCCCGGGTCGCCCCCCCCACCCACCCCCGGGTCACCCCCCTCACCCACCCCCGGGTCGCCCCCCCCACCCACCCCCGGGTCGCCCCCCCCCACCCCCGGGTTGCCCCCCCCACCCACCCCCGGGTCACCCCCCTCACCCACCCCCGGGTTGCCCCACCACCCACGGGTCGCCCCCCCACCCACAGGTCGCCCCCCCCACCCACAGGTCGCCCCCTCCACCCCCGGGTCGCCCCCCCCCCCCCTGGGTGTTCACCACGCCTCTCCTGCTCATTCCCTCCCACTGTCACCTGCCCATCCACCTCCTTCACCTCATTCCCTCTCACTACCACCTGTCTAATCCCCAGATGTTCTTACTCTTCTTGATAAGCCAAACGCATCGCATTCTTCTCCCACCTGACTCAGCGGGATCTCTCTCTCTGTCTGTCTCTCTCCACTTGACTTTCCGTCCACACCCTCCCAGTCTGCATTCCTCTCGATGACCGCGAGCACCCTGATTCACGCGCTCCGAACGCGGTGTGGTTAACGTGCGGTGCTGTGACAACGCCGTGTGGTTAACGTGCGGTGCTGTGACGACGCGGTGTGGTTAACGTGCGGTGCTGTGACAACGCCGTGTGGTTAACGTGCGGTGCTGTGACAATGCCGCCACAGGTCATCTCCGAGGAGACTGACAACACGGACGTGGAGGATGCGGAATGGGACGACTCCATTCACCGCGAGGTCCTGGAGCGGATCCCACACCCGCAGCCAGCCTTGCAGAAGGCCCTCACAGTGTGGCTGGATCCTCTGGATGCCACACAGGAGTACACGGGTTTGACACGCACACACACATGTGAAGTCAGTGGGACGCGTTGCATTCTAATTTTAGCATGCGTTCACCCACTGAAATGGATACATGCACTGTACGAACTGGCACGATCTATTGTCAAGTTGATTTTGTTTAACCGGGTGAGCTCAGGAGACCGGGACGACTTTCAAATGCAAGAGTCACTTGGGTCAGCCAAAAATAAAGCGTTGACATGAACGAAGAGTTAGCAAATAGAAATCTGAGCATAATCAAACATATAGACTTGAGATGCCATACAGCTGAACGAAACCCGTGAGTGGAATGACAAAAAAACATTCGATTCCCTGATAATTCTTCAGGAAAAAGTTATTCTCCGCTTTGGGTCATTTTAAAATTCCGGATTGAAGGACGGCTTTTGTACGTTACAGTAAAACCTCGTTATTTCAGTATTTGATAATTCGTAATTGGGGATAATTCGACATGGCTGCGCTTTCGGCATATATGCAGTGTGAGTGTTTTATTGGGGCAGGAGGCACTGGGGAGTATCATTGTACATAATTCGGAATATTTAATAATAAGAAGGGTTTACTGTACGTTGAGTGGCTCAAGAACTCCTGGCATTGGGCTAAAAAGGAATTTACCCTTTTTAAATACGTTTTTTTCTTTTCCACCGAGTGAATCGTGGATGCAGCCCCTGTTTTTAACACTGACATTGATTCCAACTTTCCCCCAGGTCTCATACCCGAAAACTTGATAGTTTAGTTCGCTATGCGTTTGGTTTTTCATGTATACCTCGCGAAGGACTGTACGGTTGGGTTTCTTATAAACGAAATCATAAAAAACACACACAAACACTGAAACACTCTCATTGGAGTCGGTGAGCGGTGGTTGCGTTTAATTTGGGGACAAGCAGCTTCGCCTTCATGTTGTGGTAATTGTGGGGCCATGTTTACCTGCAGAGTGGACTCACAGTGACCTAATCAGCATCACACTTGATTATTTCAGCTGGTTAAGGCCCATTGAGCTTGACCACACTGTGACAAGGACAACCACAGCCCAAGACAGCGGGCAGTCAGTGGCAGCAGTTACACAAGACATTGCAAGGAGGGAATGTGCAAACTAATATGTATTACAAAAATCAGTTACACAAGGTAATCATTTATGGTTTATCAATAGAAGTTGTTTTTGGAATTTACACAAGCGAATACTTCTCGTGGACTGGAGGGCTTTGGGAACGTCGGGGTTTTAGCACGTGCCCCATAAGACGAGCAGACTGCTCAAGAACTTTGTGTGCAGGTACAAAAGAGAGAAATCGGAAAGGTTTAAGTTTTTCACTGCTGGGCACTGGTGTGTTTGTTCACCCACTTTGCGTTCACTAAAACTAAAGATAGAGCTTCGCGGGAATGTCAGCCGCTACAATTTGCGATTCCCACTACGAGTCGCCAAGTGCGTGTGGGCGATGTCGCGCGCGTTCGCCGAAACCTCAGCAGGAGCATCGCATCTTGTGTTGGTGCTGATCCTGCGCAATGAATGAGCTTCCCAAACACCGAGGTGATGGCAGTGGCTCTGGTGACGATCCAGCACCACTCTCGCTGAATGCAATTACTCGCGAGTCTGCGTACAGCACCTCACCCGGCTCCTCTCGTGTCGTTTCCCTGGATGCAGATAACCTCGTGAAGTACGTGACCACGATGGTGTGTGTGGCCATCAACGGGAAGCCGGTTATCGGAGTCATCCACAAGCCGTTCCTCAAGCTGACCGGTGCGTAGAGGCCGTCGTTGCGTTTGCATTTTCTCTGTTGCTGTGGTCGCTCTTGCTGAGTGTACAAGCAAATAATTTCAGAGCCAGTCGTGACTGAGTGACCGATAATACATGCCAGGGATGTTCTCGGGAGGGCTTTAAAACCAATAGCTCTCGTGAAGCTGGACCAATGGGGGCATACTGCAGATGATGGGGAACACAGCAGAACTTCAGTAATCATCTGCGTTGATCTGGGGGGGGGGCCCGATCTGCGGTGATCCTGTAATCTGTGCCGTACCCTGTGTGTTGTGGAGGCGACGAATGAGCGGATGATAATACGAGGGTATGAGTTTCCCAGGATCCCAAATGGCCACAGTTGCCAGATGGGTCTCTCTCTCTCTCTGTGCTCGAGGGTTTATTGTTGGACTTGCCATCGGGAGTAAGTTGCGAACCGCCAGTAATCCTCGAATCCCAGGGATTGGCCATTTCTCGCAGTTGTGCCGTACTGCAAATAATGACACAATTGATAAATAACTACTGTGAAATTACGTTTAAATGTAGTTATATTACGTTTAATAAACACTGAATAGAGTAGTCAGTTAACTGTTGTTTACTATATTAACGTTTACAATACAAGAGTATTGTCCAAGTAAAATTTTTATTTTATCAGGTAAGGCCCAATGAGCTATGTAGCTCTTTTTTAGAAGTGACCTGGCCACAAATGATAGCTCAACAAAGTGGCTTATCGCATGGAAATGTACAGCAGCCAAATACTCTTAAGCGCATGTTGATTCTAAATGTGGAGGGAAAAACCGGAGGACCCGGAAAAAAATCCACGCGACCACGGTGATAACATGCAAACTCCAAATATACAGGCGTCAGGGTCGGGATCAAACCCCACGACCTGCATACTAGGTTAGGTATTTAACATCTCGCCACCGTAGCGCCCATCTCCTTATCAATACGAGATGCATAAATCTTGGCCAATGTTCGAATAAACTTGAAATTTTCTCACAAGCAATGTAAGCGACTATACAGAGCCGTGGTTTGACTTCCCGTACACTGCGCAGGATTTCTGCGTGTGAACACGGCGATTCGTGACGACACTAACTTGTCTGCGACACTCGATGTTAAGTCACTAACACCGCGAAGCAAGCGGGAGGAGGGGGGCTGGTTTGCTGTAGGGGGAAGGTTGCAACGATTTTTGTTCAGTATATTGGTAAAAAATAAAAAATTAACCCGTAAAAACAAAGTTTTTCACTATAAATCCTTTATATGCGTGGCATCGGTTTTATTTTATTATTCATTTCTGTTTTTCTTGAGTAAGAGTGAAATTTTTATCACATTGGTATCTTAAATTAAATATAAGGAAAGTCGTATATAAGGACATTGGTCTTTGAAACGGGTGGCTAGAGTCCTCTCGTCCTCTGGCTTGAGATGGCTGCCACCTATGGGTCAGATGATTGCCTGCCACCATTAAGCAATTGGTAATTAAATATAAAAAAAAAATTCCCTAAAAAGTGTAACATTTTGGAAAAAAATTTTCACGAAAATTAATTGTCACGCACAACGAGTCTGTGTGCAAAATGTCAGCTCGATTGGATCACGGGAAGTGGGTTAAAAAACGACCGAAAGATTTGCACGGTCGTAAGCGCGCAAGCAAGCAAGAAAGTGAACTTAATATAAAGGATTTAAAAATGGTGAAGAATGGCCCAAGCCCGAGCAGAGTGCGTGATTGAGCGGAGAGGCCAGGGGAAACCGAGTCACCGACTGCGTGCGTCACCCATGTGGGCTCGTACTGACCTTGAGCTCGCGTTCTCGTGAGATCTAATGGTATTAATGAGTTGAAATGTGTTTTTATTAAACATTAAATTGAACCAATTTACACGTATGTAGGGGAATAAATAACGTGCGAGTAGTAAGCTGTGGTCAGCGCACGCGGCTGTGTGCACCGCACGGGCTGTCAGGTTGGAGGCGGTTTCTATGTTTGCTGGTGGAGCCCCTCCGCCTTGAGTCAAACACCGCGAGGCTTTCTTGTGCGTTTGCCATTAAACCGAGACATGAGGAATCTTCTGATGGAGTTGCTTGTACAATTGTAATTATGTCCACTCGACGCAGCTAGCCGGTGTGGCTGCTTGAGAGTGTACCCTTAGGTTTTTTCGGTAAAGTCACGTAGGTAAAAAATAAATAAAAAATAGAAATAATAAAAAATAATAGAAATAATATTATTTCTATAATTTTTTATTATTTATGAGACTGAATGCATACTCTTAGGTTTTTTCGGTAAAGTCACGTAGGTAATTTTTTTTGAAAATAACTGATTTTATTTAGTTATTTGAGTTATTTAAATTTATTATTATTTGATTCTTATTTTTTATCTACGTGACTTTACCGAAAAAACCTAAGAGTATGAATCCTTGCAGTCACGAAAGCTTCAAACCTAGAACTGCTTGAGAGTGTTGAGTTAACCTTGCGGTTCGGCAGTGACTGCACTGCGTGGGGTACTAATCCGGAAACTTTCACCGCTGTCACGGATACTTGGAGGGATTTCTGTACCATGCTGTGGTCCTGCTTCCTACCGCATCATTGGGGAAAGTAGAAGGTTGCACTCACGTTGTGTTCACCTTCTGGCTTGGGCATCGTGGTCGTGGTGGTGGTCCACATGTCTCTGGCCCACGTCCCTCTCCCGCTTGTTTACCCAGGAAGCCTCACCCGGGTCTCAAGACTCTTTTTCAGGAGCGGCGATTTCGCAATGTGTGATTTTAATTAGTTATTTACGGTAATTATTTTCAGAATTTTGATGTTTTGGCCAATACCAGTCGCAATGTATGTTACGTTGTTTTGCTATTGGAGGAAAATGGAGAAGCGGAGGAAACGCATGCAGAACAGGGGGAGAGAATACAAACTCGGCAAGCTCTCACTCCGACTGCAGAACAGGGGGAGAGAATACAAACTCGGCAAGCTCTCACTCGGACGGCAGAACAGGGGGAGAGAATACAAACTCGGAAAACTCTCACTCCAACTGCAGAACAGGGGGAGAGACATACAAACTCGGCAAGCTCTCACTCCGACTGCACAACAGGGGGAGAGAATACAAACTCGGCATAGAAAGCTGCCCGAGTTGGGTATTGAACCCAGGTCCCTCTCGCTGTGAGGCACGAGTATTGCCACTTGCACTGCCCCCCTGCTGCTTAAACTGTGTGTAAATTGCCTTTGTGTGTGTTTGTGATTTCCGTGCGTGAATGCGTGGGGTGCGCTGCTTGCAGTGTGGGGATTTGTTGGCCGTGGGCACTCTGCCAATGTGCAGCGGCGCCACGCGGGACACGAGTCTCCGGTGTTCATCGTCTCTCGGTCCCACGCCGGCAACGTTGCCCGGCAGGCACACGCCGCTTTTGGCAACAAGTCCGTGATCGTCCCGGCTGGAGGCGCAGGTAAAAGTCGACCACGAGGGGCGGTTCAGTTGCGGGGTTTCTTTGCCTCACTATGAGACATCTCCTTTACCAGTGGCAAAATATAGTGATAGGTTTTTACCCTTTCAACTGGTACAACAACTGACACCTTTATACAAGGCATCAAGTTTGCAATAACAACAACACAAGCAGTCAAAATGCAAACAAAAATAAACAACTCTGATAATGATAATGATATGCACTGTCCTTGAAGTTGATTGGTCCACACCCGAGACAGCTTTTCTTAGAGCCTAGTCTCCATTGGTGTTGGACCAGATGACGCCAAAAGGCGTACAACAATCATTATCAGAGTTGTTTCTTTTTGTTTGCATTTTGACTGCTTGTGTTGTGGTTATTTCAAACTTGATGCCTTGTATAAAGGTGTCAGTTTTTGTACCAGTTGAAAGGGTAAAAACCTATTACTATTTCTTTGCGTCGACGGTGACTGCGGTGCAGACACCGGTAAAAATCGTCGCGACAAACGCGACATTTCAATGGAGAGACGAAGCGGTGTGATGGTGAGCATACTGCACTCGGACGTGTCTCGTGCGATTCCACCTCCCGTCACGGCGGTTGAAACAATCCGGGCAAGTTTTTCCAATCCACCACCACCTCTGTTTATCCAGCCGTGTAAACGGGCGCGCCTCAGTCGATCAGCAGGTCGTGTGCGGTGGGGTAAAGTGTGGGTATGCGGCCTCTTCCAAGACGTCTGGGCAGTGTGGAAGAGTAGACCAAATACCCTCGATAGATCTCCGTCGGGTGTGAACGAGCAAGGATGCACCTTTACGTGTTATAAATGAGGGCAACAACGGAGGGCAGAGGAGCGACGCTCACAACAATGAGTGCAGCGCCGGGCGGCTAAAACACAGGTGGCGCATCTGCCAGTCATCTCAGTAAGTCAAGCCCATGGCATCTGGGTCTGTCCCATGACCTCCTGCCAGCGGGCGTTCGAAACTTCACGTGGCCTTAAAGTGCACAGGCGCGGTGGCACAGGTGCGGTGGTGACATCACCGCTACTTAGTGGCGTATGGCGGTTGTTGTTGTGTGGTGCCAGGCAAGTATGTGGTTTTCTTTCCGTCACTACAGGGTACAAAGTGCTGTCCTTGCTTGACGTGACGGGGGACGACTCGGACAAGGCGGACGTGTACATCCACACGACGCTCATCAAGAAGTGGGACATCTGCGCTGGCAATGCCATTTTGACTGCACTGGGTGGCCACATGACCACGCTGCGCGGAGAGGAAATCGTGTACGAGGGCTCGCCCAAAAACGAGGGTGGCCTGCTGGCAAGTGCGACACTCGACCACACGCTGTTGCTGAAGAAGCTGTCGGTGCTGTAACGGAGGTCCTTACCGCAGGTTACAGCACAGGCGGCAAGAAGGCCCCCTGGGTTCGATTCCTAACTCGGGCGTCTTTCTTTTTGGGGTTTGTATGTTCTCCCTCTGTTCTGCATGGGTTTCCTCTGGGATTTCTTGTTTTCTCCTATAAGCTAAAAAAGCACACAATGCTGAAAAATGACCTGTAAATGCCTCATTTGGAATTGGACGTAGCAACATCGCACCGCTTCTGCGAAAGCTTGTCAGGACCCTCCTCAAGTATCGTCTTGAGACTCATTGAGGCCATGCTGGATAAACGAATGGGATTATAAAAATGCAGAACTCCTCTTATCTGCAGGGAAATGTCTGTATGTATGTATGTTGGGACTTCTTTCGAAATGTACGTAGGCAACCGTTCTATTTGGAAGTGCGATGGGAGACCAATTTTACAGAAATGTGAGACCAATATTACAGATCCTCTTATCCACGGAGTAAACATCTGCGCAAGTCCCCTTCTCAGCAAAAAGATCACAGGTTATTAGGACTTTCTCAAATGCAGCAGGGGTATTTGAGGCATAAAGTGTTGGCAAATGCAATTTTTATCACGCGTAATAGGATGCTCTTCTGCAAAGACTTATGGGGGATAAGTCACGGATAATTGTAAGAATATGGACCGTGGATAATAGGATTTTTCACAAATCCTATAGCATTCACGGATACTATGATTTGTAGATCATAGGGCTGTGGATAAGAATAGTTGTGTAACAATGAGTTCCAAAAAAACACAAAATTAACAGACCAATTAAAAACTCCCTGGCGTCTTCATGAACACTTGTCGCAGCCAACAAACGTAGAATACTCACGTTTCTAGTGCCGTCTTTTCGGAGCAGAGAGCAGCCCCAGTACATTCAGATTTAATTGTAATTTGAGAATTAATTTAATCACGTGGTACTTTGAAAACGATGGGGAATTGTATATGAGATGTGTATATTGTTTATAGCTCAATAACTTCCATTGGGTAACCAAAATATATTTAATTAGAAAGAAAAGCTTAAACTAAAAATGATTGCATGTATCGATTTAGGGAAATGTCACAAGTCACTCTGGGAATCAAGATCGGTTGTAATGTGCTATGTATTTTGGCCATTTAAAGTCTCTTGCGCCAAGTCAGTCGATCCATAGGGGCTGTAAAAATGTCCCTACACAATTATCCACAATATATATACACACTTGTACATGCACGTAACGATGTAAGTACTGTACAAACCTTAGCTGTTATACGAAGACTGTGAGTGTATTCAGAGTCTGCAAGGTCACCTGTATTAAAATTTAATTTGCACACAACGTTCATTCACCGGAGTGCGAAAGACACGTTGAGACGTCCGTTCCATCCAGGTGTTTGGCATTCTGAGGTTGGGAATGGCGTCCTGCTCTTTTAGGCCTCAGACATTGGTCATTTTAGGCATCGTCAGTGACTTGAGCTAATTTATACACCTCATGGGTACCTCTGGAACTGAGCGGTTTTGTTCCACGGGCGGTTTTCTAGGTGTAAATATTTGTGGTGACCCAATGCTACTGAAAATGATATGCTCCCAGAAGGGATTTGTATAGAATGCTGTAGGTTTATTTTTGATGTGGGAGCAGATACGGGATAGATACTTATGGTGTGCCTCTCTTTATTTTCATATGGTTACAAGATAAGTGGGGCTGAGGGCAGATATTTAATGGGATATGTTTGTTGAGCTTCCATGGAAGGTGTTTACCAACATTCGGATGATACGCCTCGATCCAATGCGTCCTTGGTAAGCAGCAGTCTGCTGAAGGGGAACCCAGGGTGTGTTCACAATGTGGGGAGGTTCAAGGAACATCAAATTAAATATCTCAATATAAGGTGACGTTTGTTTTTATTTGTTTGGTAATGTTCATGGTTTTAACAGTATTTTTATGAATATCCCAGTGTCTTGTGCATCTGGCTATAAACATATCACATGTTAGGCTTCTCCAGAATGGTAAAATAGCCGTACGTTTAAACAAACATCAAATGATAAGCTTACACATTATTGGGAGTAATTTTAACACCTCTGCTTACTGGAATATTGACAACGGTTTCTTCTTTACAGCACCGTAGTGGTAGTTAGACACCGAGAGAGGTGGTCTTGGGTTTTTCCCTAGAAGAAACGTATTGATGTTCATCTTGTCAGTCCTGCAGTGATTTTCCTGGTTAGAATGAAAGTGTGCGGGGAATTATTTGGACTGATATGGTAGGGTCGTATTGAACGCAGTGGATTTTTTGAGCTGCTGGAACTTTATATCTTGATGAGAGGTAGTGGAGTAGGCCGTGCCTATTGCAGTGGCAGTGGTGCTGAGAGTTTGGCAGCATGGGCTGCTATCAGATAATTGCTCTGTCGTCTTCCCCTGTTACCTGCGTTGGGTTTCAGATCGCAGACGCGTACCGAGGGTGAGACCGGTGCTGGGAGGGTAACGATATGCTGTCCCATCTCCAGTGCCGACGCAACATTGTTTGAAACACTTAGCGCATTAACACCTGTACAATTCGAGTCCACGTGGGGCACAGTCCTTCGTGTTTGATGTGCTCTCTCCTGGCTTCAAGGTTTAAAGCGTGTCGATACGCCACACCTTCGTGGAAAATTAACGACACGTTTACTCGCTGCTCGTGAATTCGAACGTGTGATCCCATTTGAACATCGGAATCTAAATATTTATCCTGGAGGAATCCGATGAGCTATAAAGATATTTTTTTTTACAGATGTCCAGTCGCGGCGGGTAAGAACGTCGCAATAACAAAGAATACAAAAACACGATAGTGCAAAGAACAAGAAGGATAAACAAATCACCCAAACACTTACAAATAAAACTAAACAATCCCCATCCTATCCGGGCAAAGCCCACTGAGGTATTATACACCTTGTGGTTCAGAAGTGACCTGCCCACAAATGATAGCTCGATAAAGTGGCTTGTCATTTGAACATAGCAGGAAATTAATCGAAATAATCTCAATGCATGTTTCTAGCATACATGAGGAATGGAGAAGATGGGAGAGGTTTGGTTGTTCTTGAGACTTCACAGATACTTTTAGGAAAACAAAACTGTGAATTAAATCTCGCCGCCAAAGTGAACGGCACAGTTTCTGTTACATCTGATAATTAAAACAGCTGTACAGTGGTACCCCGGAGATCGAACTTAATTTGTTCCAGAAGGCCATTCGAACACCGAATTAATTTTCCCCATAAGAAATAATGTAAATTGCATTAATTGGTTCCAGACACAAGAAATCGCTCAAAGTATTTTTACACTAAGTTTACAGTAATTACATGCATAAAATCATACGGAAAAAAAACAATAAATAAATGGAGACATTGTGTATGGATGAACACTAAAAAACACTGAAATTATGGAAATTAACGAAAAAGTTAAGGCACGATGTTTTGCGGGTCTGCATTGGGTGAGAGCTACGTGTTAACTGAGCATCTCATACGGTAAAACCTTTGGGCAAGCGTCATGCACGCTGGCCATACGCGTCTCAGCCGTACAGGTTCTTTCATGTCACGATTGCCCCGTTCGACCTCCGAATTTTGTTCGGTTTCCGGGGCAAAAAATGTTGAGAAATATCGTTCGAACACCGATTTGTTCGAGTTGTGGTGCGTTCGATCTCCGAGGTTCTACTGTATAACGATTGTGTCTTTCAGCTTAACGCAGTGTGCTCGAGATGTCTCCCAGATGCCGTTGTCGTGCGCACGACTGATGCGGTGATCTTCACCGAGCGCGTCGACAGCAACCGCAGCCGGCTGTGGAGAACACATTAAGAAGGCATCCCCATATTGCCAGTGCCTTCTGCAGTTCCCTCCATCGCGACATCGTTCAGCCGTCGACATTTTCAGGCTTCTGTCCCCTGGTCGATGGCATCGATTTCTCCTAGAAACTGAAGTCCCTAACCCACCCGGACGATCCTCTCGTGAGGTCACCTTGGTTGAGCTGTTTCGAATGTTTGGAGATGAAACACTGTTGGTTGTTAAAATATTCAATTTTCTGTTAAGATAAGGGAATGTCGCAATATCAAATTATTTCGAGGTGTTATGTTTGTATGTACGGTGAGATTTGCGGGGTTCTGTGGGCTGGTTTTTATTCCCATTTTGTAATGTTTGGTGTGTTTCCCATATTAAAGGTCATACAAGTGGCTGTGACATCTCCATATGATCTGCAGTGTGTTACACAATATTTTGGAAACGTTTGGAACGATGGGGACCTCATTTGCCAGATAGAAGGGTAAAAAACCAATTATCGATTGGAACGAGTTAACATTGTTTCCTCGATTGTGTGTGCTACTCGGTGCCCATAGTGTCATGATGGTTTTAAAATGTTGTATATCTGTATTATTTAATTATTTCCCTTCTACGTGACTTTACCGAAAGAACCAAGAAGATGTTTATAATGTTTATGCTCTTATGATGTGTATTCTAGATTTGAATTTTTCGTGACTTCAAGGATTCATACTCTTTGGTTTTTTCGGTAAAGTCACGTAGGTAAAAAAATTAAATAAATTACACACTTTAGCGGTGTGCTTTCGCTAAGTTGTCCCCACCTGAAGAAGGACGCTTGTGTTGCGCCCGAAACGTGATTTAATTTATTTGAATTTTACCTACGTGACTACCGAAAAAAACAAAGAGTACGATGTGTATGTTTACGCTGTGGACTCGCCTAGGTCCCACGTGGAGTATTCTGTAAAACAGCTTCAGGCTGAATGTATTTTACCCGCGCCAACAAATACAATCAAAACTAATAATAACGAATTTCGATTTAAAGCTTTCGTGACTGCAGGGATTCATCTTGGTTCTTTCGGTAAAGTCACGTAGAAGGAAAATAATAAAAATAAAACATAATAAAATTATTCTCACGACGTTTCGGCCACAACGCAAGCAGCCGTCCTCAGGTGAAGAACAGGGCGTCTGAATGAACACCACCAAGCTTGGCAGCGTATATTTAAGCTGGGTTGGAGGGGGAAGAGCGCCTTGACAAAGGAATTTGCATATCAAGATGAATTTAGCATATTTATGGGAAATGCAGTTATGTCTTTCCGACAGCCCTGTTCTTCACCTGAGGACGGCTGCTTGCGTTGTGGCCGAAACGTCGTGAGAATAATTTTGTTTTATTTTTATTATTTATTATTTCCCTTCTACGTGACTTTACCGAAAGTACCAAGAAAATAATAATAATGACTTGTTTATCCAGGAAACCACACGATGTCACGGTATCTTATCAGTCGCGTCCTGCCACGTTGGATTATGTTGGGGTGTTTTCAGGCAGTGAATGAGTGTTTGTACGCGTGGCGAGAAAACCGGAGCACCGGGAGAAAACCCAACGCATTGCGCGAGGGGGCAACACTCGATCCCCGTACAGATGGAAAGTAGATGGCGATGAGTCCACCTGCCCCACTTCCTTCTGCTGGCGAGGCGGGCGATGGAACTTCGATGCCTACTGGTATGAGGCAGTTGCATGGCTGTCAGCCCCTGATCAGTGCCAACCTTAAATTGTGACTTAAAGCTTTCGTGACTGCAGGAATTCATATTTTTGGTTCTTTCGGTACGGAGATAGAAAATAAAAATGTTTAATTTTAGTAAAAAAATTATAAAATAAAATAAATACAATATTTTTTTTATTTTAGATTATTTTTATTTTCTATCCACGTGTCTTTACCGAAACAGCCACATTTGCTGTATCAAGTGAAGAGAACCCGTAAATTTGGCTGTGACGGTCCCACCTGAAGACGGAGACTTGTGTTGCCTCCGAAACGTCGTGATTGAATTTAGTTATTTTCATTTATTATAATTTTATTTTATTATTATTTTACCTACGGGACTTTACCGAAAAAACCTAAGCGTATGCATCCTTGCAGTCACGAAAGCTTCAAATCCGTTGACATCACGTCACGCTGTGATGTTATACCGGTGACATCACGTCGGCCAAACGAGGCCGTTGACGTCATGTCACGCTGTGATGTTATCCCCGTGACATCACGTCGGCCAAACGACGCCGTGACTTCATGTCGCGTTGTGATGTTACCCCGGGGACATCACGTCGGCCAAATGAGGCCGTTGACGTCATGTCACACTGTGATGTTATCCCGGTGACATCACGTCGGCCAAACGATGCCGGTAACGTCATGTCACGCTGTGATCTTACCCCTGTGACATCACGTTGACCAAACGAGGCCGGTGACGTCATATCACGCTGTGATGTTATCCCGGTGACATCACGTCGGCCAAACGATGCCGGTGACGTCATGTCACGCTGTGATCTTACCCCTGTGACATCACGTTGACCAAACGAGGCCGGTGACGTCATATCACGCTGTGATGTTATCCCGGTGACATCACGTTGACCAAACGAGGCCGTTGACGTCACGTCGCGCTGTGATCTTATCCCGGTGACATCACGTCGGCCAAACGAGACCGTTGACAGCACGTCACGCTGTGATGTTATTTCCGTGACATCACGTCGGCCAAACGAGGCCGGTGACGTCATGTCGCGCTGTGATACCCCGGTGACATCACGTCGGCCAAACGATGCTGGTGACGTCATGTCGCGCTGTGACGCCACGTGGAGAGACGTTCGCTGCTGCTGCTGCTGCCGCCTCGCCAGCGATGGAGACGCCTCCGCGCGGGGACGTCTCCTCCGGTAGAGTCGCGGCTCCGAGACGCCCTCACTGGCGTGGAGGAGGAGGAGGAGGCGAGGCGGTCGTGGTGGGCGGATTCCCCAGGGGCCCCGTGCCTGTGGCTGACGGAAAGGCCTCGAGCCCAGGGCCAGGCCGGCTCGTAGTCGAGGGGGGGGCCTTGGCTCGCGGACGCGGCGATTTGATCTCGATTTGAAGCTTTCGTGACTGCATGGAGCAATATTCTTTGGTTCTTTCGGTAAAGTCACGTAGAAGGAAAATAATAAAATAATGGAAATACAACATACATTTTCTTGCTGTGGTTTTCACAGCTGATGATGATTGCTTGTGTTGCAATCGAAACGTGAGAATTTAATTGTTGAAATTTTATTATTTTATTATTTCTCTTCCTCGTGACTTTACCATACGAACCAAGAATACGATTTGATTTGTCGTCGTAGCTACCGAGATTGATACCTCGCGAAAGGCTCAGCCGAGTCTCACGTCTTCGAATAAAGTTGTTGCTGCTGCTGCTGCTGCGGTGCAATCCCAATCGAGGGCATTGGCAGATGATCGTTTCAGCGTCGGGATCTGTGTGGCCAACGTGAAAAGCGCGTGGGTGTTTTCATTGATTACAACTATTAATAGGGGATCGGACCCAGGGACTTGTTGATGCGAGGGGAGGGGTGGGGCTGGGTGGGGGGTGGGAGGGGCTGGGTGGGGAGGGGCTGGGTGGGGGGTGGGAGGGGCTGGGTGGGAAGGGCTGGTCACCCCGTGGTGCCCTTATACAACTCAACGTTTAACCTACTCACGCCGGCTTGTGCCCGCTCTCACAGTCGGGCATATTTGCGGAATACACCACGCCGCCGTTGACCCTGGCCATTGACCGAGCAACCCAACGATCCTACCAGCTCCCTCCGCAGGAATGTGTTTAATTAGCTCAAGTAAAGCTGACCGCCGACGAGAATGCGTTTACTGGAGGTTTAACTTGTGGTTGAATCGCCGATGCGCCCGCACAAGTTGCACCGGCGTGGCTGGTTCGGGGCGCTGTGTACGCGTGAGACGCGTGCTGATGATGTGAAGGGGTCAGGCCGTGGGAAGGAGAGGCCGTGTGTGGTGTCTGCTGCGTGATAATGTTGGTACGTTCTCCAGAGCAACGCTCGCGACGATTGTGTTGCGTTTCAAGGAACCTTACTCTTAGTTCTTTCGGTAAAGTCACGTAGGTAAAAACTGATACAAATTTTTTGCTGTGACAGTTTCACCTGAAGACGGAAGCTTGTGTTGCCTCCGAAACGTCGTGATTTTATTGTTTTTATTTTTTTATTAATTTTAATTTCATTTTTTACCTACGTGACTTTACCGAAAGAACTAAGAGTATGAATCCTTGCAGTCACGAAAGCTTCAAATCTACATGTTTCACGGAACCACATTTTACAAACTGCAGACTCTTTTCACTTATTGGCCAAGACATTGTCTTCAACGTTGAATTACAAATGACCACACATTGTGTAATTTTTGTTAAACAAGCATCCCAGACTGGATTTCGTCATGTCTTTCAAACAAGGTGTGGTATGGAGAATCGTGTCTGTGATGCTGCACACTGGTATGGTTTGCGCGGTATGGCGTGTCCAATGCAGCATTTATTTCAAGTCCCACACGGCGTGTTTCGCGTGGCGAGCTCAGAACACGCTGGGATGTGAATGTTCAAGCAGTAATTGTGTGGCAATACCCAACACTTTTTTCAAAGTAATTCATGCCACGAAATGCAGAAATGACTGTTTTGATCACATTCCAGCAAAACGTAAATGGTTCACTGTATTGTTGTGTTATTCAAATAACTATGTGCCAAAAAGATGTGGCACTACTTAAGCATATTGGCACAAGATAGAGGAAAGTGGAAACATTACGAAATGCTCAGTGGACACCTACGGGCTATCTGCTCACGGATTGTGATGATGATGAAGTACCTGCCAATATTGGCTTTGGGTCTGATGATTTTCATGCTTAAAATACATTTTGTTTTTCCAACCAGCCCAGTGCCCATCTGCATCTCGCGGTGAAGATGAGGAGCCATGGGAGACATCATAATAATAATGTCGGAGCCTGTGACGCTGAACGTGGGCGGACACCTTTACAGCACGTCGCGCGCCACGCTCACGCGCTACTCGGATTCCATGCTGGGCGCCATGTTCAGCGGGGACCTGCCGACTGCGAGAGACGCGCAGGGGCACTACTTCATCGACCGCGACGGGCCGCTCTTCCGCTACGTGCTCAACTTCCTGCGCACTTCAGAACTCACCCTCCCGCAGGACTTCAAGGAGATTGATCTCCTACGAAAGGAGGCTGACTTTTATCAAATAGAGCCGCTCATCCAGTGCCTCAATGAGCCAAAGCCCCTTTACGCGTTGGATACTTACGAGGAGACAGTGGAGCTGGCAAGCACTCGCAAGCTCAGCAAGTACTCGAACCCAGTGACGGTGATCATCACGCAGCTCACCATCACAACCAAGGTGTTTGCGTTGCTCCAGAGTATCGCTGGAAACTTCACGCGCTGGAACAAGCACATGATGGATACGCGCGACGCCCAAATGTCTTTCACGTTTGGGCCGTGTGATTATACGCAAGAAGTGTCGCTGCGCGTGCACCTGTGGGAGTACATTGCACGCCAGGGGTTTTCTCTGAGATGCTCTCGCGTGCACCACATGAGTGAGCGCGCCAATGAGAACACAGTCGAGCACAACTGGAGCTTTTGTCGCCTGGCGCGGAAGAGCGACGATTGATCGTCGCGTTGCATCTCGTGGCCGGGTGAATTTTCCACCACCTTGTCCCGTTTGCACCTCCTGTGAGTTTAGATGTCAGGACTCGTACCAGTGAGTGTATGCCGTGAAATTACAAACGTTACACGTCGCCCATCGCTCCTACTTTTTTTTTTACCAAAACACCTTTCCCGTGGGCACAATGTCTTGTCCTTGAGCAATGAACATGGACACCGGGTTTTCATGCAGGCCCCGGTGGGCTGATATAACTAGACCCTCTTGTGGCCGCTAACAACACGTACCCCAGCAGTGTATGACTATTGGGGGATCTTTATTTCGTGACATCCGGTTTTAGCCTCGTAGCCCACGATTTTCAGCGAACGCATAATCAGACTGGCATAGGGCAGGAAGAGCTGGTACAATAGGATTCGAAGTGGTATGTTTCGTGTATTTGGGATGAGAGGTTATATAATGTGCTTTGGGATGCTGGGGTTAGATGTTAATCGGCAACACGCCCAGCCACCCTGTGCCTTCCCAGTGGTGATGTTTACACACCACACCAGGGGCTCTTATCAGGTCGAGCAACCTCTGGAAGGCCCACAACAGAATCGGGATCGAACCCATGCTGCCAGAATCATAATGGTTTCCTCCGGTATCAAGACATATTAACATCTTCTTGGTTCTTTCGATAAAGTCACGTAGAATGGAAATAAAAATAAAGTAAAACAATAAAATAATAATTCTAATTATTTTCTTATGTTGAATTTTATTATTATTTTATTATTTCCATTCTACGTGACTTTACCGAAAGAACCAAGAAGATGAATCCCTGCAGTCACGAAAGCTTTAAATCGAAATATTCACAGTGTTAATGCAGTACACAACTGCACCACCACGCCATACACTGTTGTAGTATGTGTATGTTTGGCGAGTGGGATTCTCGTATCCAACCAGTGAAGAATATCTGAAGCAGCCCTGGGCCTCTCCTAGGTCGACTCAGCCTTAAATGAGAACTTGGGATCGTGTGTAAACATCACCATTGAGACAAAGGTGTCCAGTCGTGGTGCTGGCAACCCAGCCTCCCTTGGTGCTGCTAACAGCATTTGCCCCAGCAGCCTGTGGAGGAGGCCGTCTGTAAATGACGTCACGCACCTGGTGGGGGGGTCATACATTTGTGACGATGTGTGACAAGGGGGGATGGGTTTGAGAAATGTGACGTCACATCAAAATGCGCAACTTTAAATAAATATAGACAACACGTTCTACTAAATCACGGTAAATAGACTTTTAATAAATGTTTTCTCCTACAATAGAGTGCAGCGCCGCAGAGTTTTGTGACGTCATATTTGAGGGGGGGGGGGGTCTGACTTTTTGTGACGCCGTGTGACGAGGGAAGGGGGGGGGGTCAAAAATCGCGTGACGTCATTCATGGACGGCACCGCGATTCTACAGGGGATCTTTGGTATACTGAGCGGTGGCGTAGTGGTTAGTGCATCGCGCTATCAACCCAGCAACATGGGTTCGATTCCAATCCACGGATAATATCCGTGTTGATTATCTTAACAGGTGATGGTCTCGGTACTTGGTGTGGTGTGTAAAGGTGAGCACGAGGGAGACAAAGGCGGCCAGGCATGGTACTGGTCACACCCTCCCCTTGTTTGCCATGTTGTCCTTCATAGGCCGAGGTTCCTGGTTCGAATTTAGTGGCCGCCCTGATTAATTCTGAACTTGTGTTGCATATAACTGCGTGACCAGGAAACGCAGGCAAACATGTTATTTTCACAATTACTGTTTTTCAATAAAAAATTAACTTGGACAATACTTCGATTTAAAGCTTTCGTGACTGCAGGGATTCATCTTCTTGGTTCTTTCGGTAAAGTCACGAAGAAGGGAAATAATAAAATCATAATTTGTAAAGATTTTTAATTATTATAACAATTCATAAATAATAAATATTCTTATCTTTTATTTTTTTTATGTTATTATTTCCCTTCTACGTGACTTTACCGAAAGAACCAAGAAGTTGGACAATACTGTTACTTTGACAGCGAATGTATTCGCATAATTGTCTGTGCCACGTACACTCAAATGCATATTTGCCATGAAACACAAGTACGACCCGGAATCAGTTTTGTCTGCATGGGGAGGGCGGGAGGGGGGGACACTTTAAATGTATTTGTTTTTAATTGGGAAAACCCAAACGTTCCATTCCGCTCGTGACGGAGCTTTGGGTGAAGCCAGAGCCTGCCATCTTACTCGGTGGAGGAAGCGAAAGTGAGGTGACAACGGGGACATCCCAAAGTCAGAGAGGCAGGAGCCAGCAGCGTACCACTTGGGAGGGTCACAGCAGAGGTCGCAACTGGGTACCCGATACCCGTACCCTACCCGATACCCGGCTACCCGTACCCGGCCGGGTACGGGTACCCGTTTGCGACCCTGGTGCGGCCGGGTACGGGTACGGGTAGGCCGTGAGTCACTGGTGAGTCACCGTTTGTCACTCATTTCCCAACGTCTTGTCTCTTCTCACAATTCAAGTTCCTAGAATCAACCCACCCGCGCCTGCAACATGGCTTCATCCCAGAGGTACCCGTACGCTACCCGTACGGGTACGGTCGGGTACGGGTACCCATTTGCGACCCTAGTGCGGCCGGATACGGGTAAGGAATCTAAACCCGTTTGCGACCTCTGGGTTACAGGCACGCGGATTGTATCGCGTAGAGAACCCCTCCATGGTCAATCCACTGCTGGATGACAGCCGACCGACCCAGACCGCATGGGCTGTGGAGATTCACCTCATTGGTCGGTGCGTTCTGTAGAAACGCGAGGTGCATATACATTGGGCTCGGGGTTAAAATAGTTCAGGGTTAGGGGCCGTCCATAAATGACGTCACGCACCTAGGGGGGCAGGGGGGGATCAGACATGTGTGACGACGGGGTTTGAGAAATGTGACGTCACAAAGATGCGCAACTTTAAATATAGACAACACGTTCTACTTAATTAAAGAGACTTTTTAATAAATGTTTTCTCCTACAACATCAGAGTGCAGCGCCACATTAAATACGCACTACAATGACAATAGTTTAAAGCGAAGGGGGTGGGGGCAGAGCTTTGTGACGTCATATTTGAGGGGGGGGGTCTGCTTTTTGTGACGCCGTGTCACGAGGGGGTGGGGGTCAAAAACCGTCAAAAATCACGTGACGTCATTTATGGACGGCCCCTACCCGAGAGCATCGTTGGCTGATACCGTGGGGCAGTCAAAGACTAAGACCCCCCCGTGTAGCCTTAACAGATTGTTGGGGCAAATGCTGTGAACATGGCTGGCCACGTACGGTACGAAAGAAGTTCAGCACACATACATTAAGTGGGGTGGCCGGTACCAGGCCCGGCCGCCTTTGTCTCCATCGTTGTCATGTTTACACACACGCCGGAGACAGGTACGCATTTGAGGCTGAGTGGACCTAGGGGAAACCGATTCAGATAATTGTGACTGGTGATGGTTGCGAGTGGGAATCGAATTCTGGTCGCCGGGTTCGTAGCGGAGTGCGCTAACCACTACCCCACCGCTCCTCACTCGTGGACAAACACACACTTTTGATCATCATCATCATTTTATTGGTTCTTTCGATAAAGTCACGTAGAATGGAAATAATAAAATAATAAAAATAAAACATAATAAAATAATTCTCACGACGTTTCGGCCACAACGCAAACAGCCGTCCTCAGGTGGAGAACAGGTCCTTCTCCACATGAGGACGTGACTTTACCGAAAGAACCAAGAAGATGAATCCCTGCAGTCACGAAAGCTTTAAATCGAAATCGTCATCATTGGTAAGCACAGTATTTATTCGGTATTTATACATCTGTTTATTGTCAAGGAATGTTTTTTTGTATCGGGTTGTTAAGTGTTTATTTAAATTATTTAATTGTTAGTTGATGTGGCATACAGCACAGAACTTATTTCAATTGTGAAGTCTATTGTTGGTTGCCGTGTCACTGACCCCATGATTTAGGTAATATGGCTTTAGTATTGAATATCGCGGTTTGGACTTTCGCGGAACTTTCCAAGGACGTCGCCCCCGTGACATTCAAGGGTTTCCTGTATTGGATACGTTGGGGTTAAGAGTTAGGGGGCATAACAGCGATACACACACGCATCTGTGTTTTTATATGGGACGTTTTCAAGAGAGGTGATTTGCTGTATTTCGTGATGATGTCAAGTAAATACCGCGCTGAAGAACTGCCACCTATTTAAAGCTTTCGTGACTGCAGGGATTCATCTTCTTGGTTCTTTCGGTAAAGTCACGTAGAATGGAAATAATAAAGTAATAAAAATAAAACATGATAAAATAATTCTCACAACGTTTCGGCCACAACGCAAGCAGCCGTCCTCAGGTGAAGAACAGGTCTGTCGAGAAGACAGCGTCTGAATGACTCTGACCTGTTCTTCACCTGAGGACGGCTGCTTGCGTTGTGGCAGAAACGTGAGAATTATTTTATTATGTTTTATTTTTATTATTTTATTATTTCCATTCTACGTGGCTTTACCGAAAGAACCAAGAAGATGAACTGCCACCTCCTTCAGTCCAATCTGCTGCCAATACCCTTGTTCACCAGGAGAAGCCAGTCGGACAATGGGACTCACCTACACCTATTTCCCGAAACTATATACAGAGACTAGCTTCACTACCCGGCTTCACCCGAGACTTGGATTCTTGTCTTGGATTAATACACGGCCCAGAGGTCGCAAACGGGTTTTGATTCCTTACCCGTACCCGGCCGCACCAGGGTCGCAAACGGGTACCCGTACCCGGCCGTACCCGTACCCTACCCGTATCCGGCCGGGTATGGGTAGGGTACGGGTATCGGGTACCTGATTGCGACCTCTGGGATGAAGCCATGTTGCAGGCGCGGATGGGTTGATTCTAGGAACTTGAATTGTGAGAAGAGACAAGACGTTGGGAAATGAGTGACAAACGGTGACTCACCAGTGACTCACGGCCTACCCGTACCCGTATCCGGCCGCACCAGGGTCGCAAACGGGTACCCGTACCCGTACCCGGCCGGGTACGGGTAGCCGGGTATCGGGTTGGGTACGGGTATCGGGTACCCGGGGGTGCGTGACGTCAGCAGGCACACTGCGTGACGCTGCCGCATGCGGGTGACATCACAGATGCAACGTCACCGCTCACTTGCCGTGCAAAATATATCCATCATTGCCCCCCTCCCCCCCCCAAAAAAAAAAATTTGAAAAGTCTCTTTTTATACTTTTAGCATTGTGTACAGTCTGGAAGCTACCCACATGGCAAATTTCAAGTTTGTTGCATGTCGGGAAGTATGCTTAACATTTCGAACAGACACACATATTCACAAATTTCCCTTTTTTAAATCCTTTATATTAAGTTCGCTTGCTTGCGTGCTTGCTTGCTTACGACCGTGCAAATCTTTCGGTCGTTTTTTAACCCACTTCCCGTGATCCAATCGAGCTGACATTTTGCACACAGACTCGTTGTGCGAGACAATTAATGTTCGTGAAAAAGTTTTCCTAAATTTTACACTGTTTAGGGAAAACAAATTAAATATTTAATTACCAATTGCTTAATACTGGCAATCATCTGACCCATAGGTGGCAGCCATCTCAAGCCAGAGGACGAGATGACTTTAGCCGCCACGCATATAAAGGATTTATAGTGAAAAACGTTGTTTTTACGGGTTATACTTATTTATATATAGATTGTCGCACCCTCGCTTGTGTGAGGTTTCTCCAGGTGTTCTGGTTTCCTCCCACGTATGAACATTCATCGATTGGCTGTAACACTTTTAAAATTAAAACCAAATGCATGACCCTCTTGAAAAAAAGAGTCGTGACTCAGCGTGCCTTTCCTGGATAAATAAGCCATTGTTATGCTTGGTTCTTTCGGTAAAGTCACGTAAATTGAAAACAAAAAATCAAAAAAAATAAAATAAAAAAATCAAATAAAAAAATAAAAAATGTATGCAAGGAAAAAAATTAAAGCAAAAAACCCACGACGTTTCGAGCGCAACACAAGCGGCTTTCATCAGGCGGAGAGAAAATAGGGGGCAAGCCTCCAAATGTAGCTGCTTATAAGGGTTCCAAAGTGAGTGGGTGACGGAAAGAGCTGCGCTCACAACACGAGCTGCATAAGTAGCGCACTCATGCAGCAGCAACACAAAGGCGGAGTTGGGCGGAGGTGAGCTTGTGCAGCGCAAACAGCATGGGCGGGGCAGCCACTAGCAGACAATGGGGGGGCAGAGACAGGGGGAGACTTTTTAAATCATTTATATTAAGTTCACTTGCTTGCTTGCGTGCTTGCTTACGACCGTGCAAACCTTTCGGTCGTTTTTTAACCC